GATTTACTTCTTGAAAAGGGGTGAGTGGACCTGTGCTAAAGGTAAGAATTCAAAAAGTAGAATTATTTGGAGAAAGCTTGTTTGCAAAGAGCTGATGTGACTGATGTAACTTTTAACTGGTACGTTAAGCACTTCACAGCAGTTTTGGGTTTTCACACCCAAAGAAAACTCCCTGTCCCAAGCATTTCGACTGGAATTCATCCCACTGGAGTTCAAACTCTGAAATTGTTTGCTCTCCACCAATATCTGCTGCTGTCCCACTGATAACAGCTGGAAGCTGCAGCAAATACATTTATCACTTGCAATGTGCCTTCCATCTGTGGGTCCCACTGAACCTGCCCCTGCAGATCTGAGCCTCAGTTAAATACCTAAAGGTTGGGGAGATAAATGTGAGTGAGGATAAAATTCAGAGTGAAGCTAAAAGGGTAAGAAATGAGAAGAGCACATCTGGGTGAGGATCCCAGCAGTGGGTGCTGGTGGCACTGCAGCTGTGAGCTGACACAGGCTCACCCACGGAGCTCCCAGAGGAAGGGCCTGTCTGGGCTTGGGAATGCTGCAGTTCCTGGGAAAGGCAACTGGAACGAGGCAGGGAGGGTTTCCCAACATCCCCACGACTGCAGTTATCCCCCAGCAGCATTTACACCCTGGCCAGGGGCTGTTGTGGCTGTGGAGAGGTTTGTGCATGGAGGGAGGGAGGTGAACTGAAGGAGGAAGGTCAGGAGCTCCTGCAGAGATGATGATTGCGGTGCTGTTAACACAGTGAGAAGGTGTCAGCCACGACACAGAGGAGTAAGAGATGAGTTGGAAAGTCAGGAAAGGGCCATGGTGTGATGGACAGGTGAGAAAACTGGCTGGGCCTCTGAAATGTGCTCAAAGGAAGGACACCTTAAACACCAGTGGACTGTGTAAGTGCTGTTCAGCAGCTGCAATCAGATGGAAATCTTGGTGATCACAGAACCCTCACTGGGCACTTCTCTAAGTCCCCATTATATTTATACATTACTGGATTCTCCACTGGAAATCAAGTATTACATGGAAGTATATCCTTATATATAATAATATAAATAAAGAAGCCCACACACATGGCAGTAAGTTCTGCTGTAAGCAGCTGGAATAATGATGTTTTATTAACTGTGTCATTATATGTGTTTATATCTCTTGCCCATTAATCTTTGAATCTCTACAGCAGTACCCTGAATTTGTCTGTTTTTCCTGCTCAGCATTCCTGTCAGGCAGTGTGGCAGTTCCCCAGCCAGGCTGGATCCACAGGAATGCTGACAGGCTCATGTGCACATGGATTGCTCAGTTCCTCAGTTGCCACAGTTAAGCAGTTCCTGCTTTTCTATTCACAAGGGGTCCAGTTGGACTCTCCCTCCTCTGCAAGGCTCCCAGCTTGCCTGGATGTCTTCACAAGTGAGATCACAGATGTCCAGCTAGAAATCAATGCTGCCATTCACTGAACTGGATAATTGTTGCCTTTTCCTAGTGAAGAGTTCTCGATAAGATGCAGTGCAACAACAGCAACAACAAAGCAAAGTCAGTGCATTTAATGTCATATACTGAGCTGGGTTTAGATGAGACAGTTCAGTGAAGTTAAATAAGATCTCTCCTACTGAATCAGAAGCTGCAGCTGAGCTTATTCACTCTTATCTTTTTTCCATTTTGAGAGGGGAACACAAACGGGGGATGTGCAGGAGGAAAGGAGCACCATCTAGTGTTTAAACGCTGGAGAAGGAAACACTGCCATCAGTTAAAGCACAGACCGTGGGGGAATTCTTTGGCTGACTTGTTTGCATGCAGGAAACCAGTAAATTCTGGAAATGCAACAAGAAGATGATCTTCATGGCACTGTGTGAATGACATCTCAGACTGCATCAGACACAGCAACTCAGAAAAATGCTTTGCCTACTTGCCTGTGCTGGTTAAAGGAAGGGCTGAGGAAAGGTTTGTGTTCCCCATCTCCAAATAATTTAAATTTGGAAGGCCAGAGCCCCTCAGGCTTTGCAATAATGTGCAGTGCAGCAGGTGAGTGCTGTCCACAGCCAGGCACAGCAGGGGACAGCGTTCCCCTTGGCAGTTCCTTTGGCAGAACCTGCAAAATGTTCCTCAAAATGCAGTAAAAGGAGCAGTTAAACCACCATCCCAGCAGGCAGGTCTGGGCTGACACTGGGGGGGAGAGGATTTGGGGGCTTACAGTTGTCTGTAGTGCCGTTGTTCTGGAAGGCAAAAAACCCAACAGATGTTCTGTGCAGGCTCTGAACTCGGGGGTTCATCTCCAGCTGAATCCCCATTTCTCCAAAGACACCAGACAAGAGGCAAAGTCATTTTTGCTTTCTGTTTGGTGAAAGGAAGCAGTGTGTGCTCTCAGCCACGCTAATTTTGGAGCATGATCTCACTGGAACCAAAAGCTCAGTACAGATGTGCTGCTTGTAATTTGCTGGTGTTTTCCTGTGCTTCTGTAAACACGACAGCATGAGCCTGGCACACACACCAGCTGTGCTCTCTCTGCCTCCAGAGTAATGAGAAACTCTCTTTTTTCTTGCATATTTACCTTTTTTCCCCCAGAATAAAACATGATCTTATTAAAGAACTGTGAATTCTTATATTAATTATAAGTTAAAGCCATCACAATTATATAGAGTTAGACCAGTCTCTCATTTTTGAGAGTAAATACATTTCTATTTCCATGTGTAGCACATGGCCTTGTCAGCCAAAAGTGCTACTACTAAACTATTAGTTAATTTTTGGGAGGGAAGGACACACCAGAACAAAAAGGGAATTTTAAGTATTTTTATGATTGACAAGCTCTGTGGTCCTTGTGGGAGCATAACCAGTGTTTGTGTATGTGGAACATTGACCTGCCTGTTATGTGCACCCCAAAAGCTTCAGTGGCCATTGCCTGTGGGCAGGGGGGAAATCCTGTCTTGTGATATTGTTATTTTTTATTTGTGTTCTAGACATTTCTTAGCACCACAACGTCCTCTGTGTCACCTGAGCATCCTTGGACAGGAAAACGGGAAAGGAAGAAGCAGGTAAAGGAAAAAGTATTGTTTTCATTTACATTCACCACAACAACTTAGCCATGAGCTGCTGTTATTTACCAGTCCACATCTGGATCTGGTTGTGAAAAAAAAGGGCCTACATGAAATAAGGAACTTATTTCCCAAGAAGGGGAACTTTCTCTGTACATGAATCAGCTGTGAAATCGGGGGATTCTCCTGCTCTGCACTGCAAGGAAGCTGAGCAGAAAACTGAAAAAGAGAAGTAGTGCCCCCAGAGTTGTGAGGATTTTGGATCCTCTGGGTCTGGGATTTTGTGCAGGATGTAATCACTGGCAGCCAGCAGGAGTCAGGGGTGCTCTCAAGGCCGGGCTTCACCGAATGATGAGATCATGGAACACATCAGGGGTAAATGCTGGGGCACTTCAGCTTGTGTCAATGAGTGAGAGCAGGAACCAGCTGCTTCTAAAGACAATGGGTGTTTTCTCTGTGTAACTCCTGTTCTGGCAAATGACACTTGCCAAGAAAGATGCCACCAGAAGAGCAAGAACACTTTGTGTTTGGGGAAGGAGATGCTGAGCAGTATATATGGAAGAAACATTACTGACCTTTTATTAAAGCAGGATCACCTCTTCTTACTGCCCACATTTACTAAAAAGTCCTCACCTTTTAACAGCAGAATCACAGAATCAGAGATTCTAGCCTGAAAAAAAAGGGGAAAAAAATTAGTTTGCAATGTTTAATCTTTTAGTGGATCCAACTTCACGTTACTTGAGCTGACTGGGGAGATAACTTCCACACCTCAGCTGATGTAAGGAATCACTCCTGTTTCTCTGCTAACAGAACACTGATTATCTCCTCACTCTGCACTTCCCTTATCAGTAGGTGATAACTGGAGGGGAGGACTCCAGGAATTCTGCAACCTCCAAGTGCAGAACCCATGGGCAACCACACTGAATATTCAGGTGCCTTTATATCCTTTACATCCTTTAGCAAGGCATGAAAATGTTGTCTGGCTCATGAGATGGTTATTGAGAAATTAATCAAGGCAGTTAGAAATGAGGCCAGAGTAAGAAGCTCTGGGGAATTTAGGATTTCTGGGTAACTTGAACTTCCAGACTTTCAGAATTCAGTCAGACGAACCTATTACACAAATAGCATTAACCTAATAAAAACACCATTGCAAACATCAGCTCCAGCCACTGGAACAACTATTTTGACAGCAAACCCTTTGTGCTGTGTTTAAGGGTGAGAGCGAAAAGCTGAATGCCATTAAACATGGAACAGTCTCCTCCCAGTTTTGGATGAACGTGGCACATCTGTTTTCTGTATTTGTACCCAGAGCTTTGGGCACGTTTGAAGGAAATAGGCACCTCAGTGTGTTCCAAACATAAGGACAAATGATGTGAAGTTACCAGTGGCAGTTTGATGTCTTCACAGTGAAGTTTCCTATGGCAGAAGTTCTGTATCACTAACACTGGAAGTTCCCTGGAGCCCACAATGTGCTAGTGAAATGTAATTATACAAAAATACACTTTGGTCCGTGGTCATTCACGGGCCTAAACCCCGCAAGCTGCAGCTTTTCACCCACTGATCCCGCCTGCATTTTCCGTATTTTATCCCCACTCCTTCGGCTGCTGCTGCGGTGTCAGGCAGGGATGAGGCTCGGGCTGGGGCACATCACGGCACTGCAGGGGAAGGGCGTTAATCTGACCCTGGGCTGGGGGAGCGTTTGGAGAACCGTTTTTGGGCGTGTAACCGTGTAACAGCGCCCGGCCCGTGTGGGGAGCGGGGAGGCAGCGCCTTGGCCCGGCCGCGGGGCGGGATGCCCGGACAGTGCCGGGGCCGGGACCCGTGCGGGGCCGGGGCGGGCCGTGTGGGGCGGGCCGTAAGGGACGGGCGGGGCCGTGCGGGGCCGGGGCGGGGCTGTGCGGGGCGGGCCCGCACTACAAGTCCCGAGAGGCCGCGGGCCGGGCCGGCCCCGTTCCCTGCGCGGCCGCGGCGATGCCGGCGGGCTCCGAGGGCGAGGACGGCCCGGCCGGGGAGCAGCCCGGCCCCGGCGGCCCCAAGCTCTGCGGGTACCTGCAGAAGCTGTCGGGGAAAGGGCCCCTGCGCGGCTTCCGCACCCGCTGGTTCGTGTTCGACCCGCGCCGCTGTTACCTCTACTACTTCAAGGGGCCGCAGGAGCCGCTGCCGCTCGGGCACATCGACATCGCCTCCGCCTCGTTCAGCTACCACCAGCCCGAGGCGGCCGCGGCCGCGCCGGGGGACGAGCCCGCCGCCTTCGAGGTGCACGGGCCCGGCGGGGCCGTCGCCGTGCTCAAGGTAGGCCCGGGACTCATCCCCGGCCCGGTCCTGCCCCGTCCCGGTCCCCCTGCCAGCCCTGCCCGTGCCCTCCCCGCGGTGGTGCCCGAGCCGTGTCCCGGCGGGCTGGCAGGGGCAGGAAGGTGCAGACGGGATCGGCGGTGCCCTCACGGGGTTGTGTTCCCCTCACGGGGTTGTGTTCCCCTCACGGGGTCGTGTCCCCTGGCAGGGAGGAGACGCCGCTGCCCGCCGCTGCCCGGGGCTGAGGGGCTTCTGGGGGAACCACGGGGTGGGAGAAAGAGATTTCCGAAGAAATGTGGTGCGCTGTGGATTTGCAGGCAGAGAGGGAGTGGCCGGGTCTCGGTCTCGGGGTGTTTGTGTTGAAAAGATGGTGCGTGGCACAAGTCTGTGTCTGGGCTGCCTCGGGAGGAAGGAAGAGGAGGGAGAATTGTTTCCTGAGAGTAGCAGAGGCTCCTTGTCTGTACAGGGACTCGGACCTTCCTAGGGCGAGAGGCAAATGTGGGGATTGTTTTACGTATCTTTCCTCTGTTGTCGTGCCTAGGGAAAAAAAAAAAAACAACCGAGGAAACCATTTCCACTGAGTAAAGAAGAAATAAATCCTCCCGAGTGCCCGTGATTGCTGTTGAGGCAGATGAGCCCCTCAAGGGACGTTCTTGTGCACTGAAGGGGACTTTTCATGTGAACTGTGTCCTTTTTGAGCATAATCTATTAAGCTATTAATAGATTAACACTGGCAATTCCTATTGAATGTTGGCAGAAATCTCTTTTACACTTCTTTAACAGCGGAGATCTGAGCAGTGATAGCACGTGCTGAGATTGTGGAGCGTGATTGTGTCAAGCTCTTCAGCATCGTTCTGTTTTGATAACTAGAAGTGTCAAAATACAGAATCACCTGCATGCTTTACTGGAGAATAAGCAGGTTATTTAACTAGAAAACTCACATGATAATCATTTTAACCTATTTGATGAAGGAGAAGCAGTGCAATCCCGTGTAAAAGCTACTTTTATATAGCCTTAACCAAAGGTTTTATTGCTTTCTATGAATCTGCTTTTATGGCCTGAGTTAATGTGTTATGCAAGTCTAAGCCTCAGACTTGGTGTAAGCGTTGATTTTCTGGTAGCTCGAGAGTGTCTTGCTCGGTTGGGTTTTTTTAATTAGCATTTAATGATTTTTTTAATGTGGAAATCTTCTTCAGAAAAATATTGAATGCATATTTTTTGTTGTGAGGATTTTTTTTGAATACGAGGGCCTTCACTGAGGAACAAGGGATTTGTGATTAGGAGTGTAGTGGGATAGAGTGCCTGTCACTTGTGTGATAAATAGTCTGTCAGACGGTGCTCTGGCAGGAGCCTTGGGTGTTTTCTGCAGTCATTGAAGACACAAATCAAACCCAACACTGATGCAGAAGTTCAAGGAACAGGGAGTTTCCTTCTACATACTTTTCTTGGTATCTTGTGGTCTGTGATGTTGCTGCTCTGCCCATGTTTTGTGTGTCAGGGCTTTTTTCTGTGCTCTAGGAAAGAACCTGCATAGCTTGGAGCTCTTCCTGGGTTTTCCTTAGGGGGATTGGGAAGAGGGGCCAGTTAAGGAAGTCAAGTTCATGTCTGCAATTAGCAGAAAAAGGCTAATTTTGCTTTGTGTACCTCTTGTGTTAGGATGATTGCCCTGAAGTGGGTGAGTGATTATCTGTAAAAGTGCTCTTAGAGGTGTTCATGTAACCAGTCAGGAATTAATGAAGATCTTGAGGGATGTTGCAGGACCCACTGGCCTTCTGTGGCCATGTGATTCACCAAGGCTTTTGCAGCTGCAATTCATTGTCTTCCACCCAACACAGCAGTTCTTTAAGGCCTCTAAAAACATCCTTTGGCTAAATTAGGGAGATGTGGAATTAAGAAAGAATACAAAATGTTAAAAAAAAAAACCCAACAACTCCAAACCTCCCCCTGCCTCTGATCCAGCCCCTGTGAAAAACAAATGTGATTTAATCTGTCAGGAAAACATTGCACGGGGAGCACGAGGAATAAAGTGATCTCCAGCGGATTCTTCTCCCTGGAACTCACGTGCCTCGTTTTCCTCAGCTTGCTGCGTGTTCAGAATTTCCACATCTTGTGATCTGGCCTTTCCCAGTCGGGATTATGGGCTGAGAAGAGCGGTAGGAAAGAAGCAGCTGGAATTCCAGATTGAACTGATGGTGCTGTTGTTTGTTACAATGCCTCAGTTTTTGGTTGATGTGATGATTTCATCGTCTGGATTGCTCGGCCTTTGGTGGTTTCATGGGAGCTGAGGGCTGTGTGACGGACCCAATCTTTGTTTCTCAGTTAGATAACAATTTTGGAAGGAACATATTGCTGCCTTTACAGCAAATAAAGCAAATTGTTTGTGTTTTAGGACTGTAGATAACCAGCCTGCCACTCGTGTGATTGTAGCTTCTCTCTATCCTTCCAGCAGTTAAAGTACAGTAGAAAATCAGTGTGTGAACGTTTGGCTGTGTGCACACAATGAGGCCTTGCATAAAGGGGGGAAAAATATATATATTTCTAAATGTTTTTAAAGCAATGTCATGCAGACACACAAAGAAACACTGGCCAGTGGTGCTGGGCTGTGCTGGACACTCAAGTGTGGGTGACTTGTCTGTGAACAGTGGTGAGCTGGGAGGGGACCAGAAACTGCACAGGCTTTTTTTGCAAGAAAGAAAGTCTTTTCTGGGTTATTGGCCAAGTGTCAGCATTCCAGGCACTGCAGATGTCAGAGCCCAGAAATCCTTGGAAGGATTGGACACCAGACTTGCTGAAATGAGAATTGCTTTGGAGCTTTTGCTCTGATTTGTCAGTGCTCTGGAAGGATGTGGGTAACGATGGGGGTAGAGCTTGGACAGCATTGCTGTGGGAACCAAGGTTAGAGGGCAGCTCAGCTGGGAATTTGTTGCCTGAGCTGATGCTTTTCCCTTCCAACTCTGCTGGTTAGTGGTTGCAATGCTTTAATTAAGAGCTGGGCTGCCCTCCAGACAAAGCCACCTGGCTCCAGATTTGCTGTTGGAGTGGAGCAGGACTCGTAAATCTTAAGAAATGCAAACTTTCTGGTGATTAAAAAAACCTCAAGGGGAGACTTTGCCTGTGTTCAGAAAAGGACCGTGGCAAGAATTTTCATGAGATACCTCAAAATATCAGGTCTTGTTGGATTTCTTTGCCCTCTCCCGCGAAGTGTTTGATGTGGGCATACGTGTTCCACCAGCGTGTCTGGGGAGAGGAAGCCAGAGGGTGGTTGATTTCCCCAAATAATTCATCTGTTCGTGCCATGTGTGCATCAGGAGAAGGCAGTTCTTGCATCATTCTCGGTGGGGGAATATAGGGAATGGTTTTAATGAATTAAAGGATAATGATATTCCATCATTGGAGTTGAAAGCTGTGTGTCTCGTCACTTCAGTGCCTCTTGCTGCTGTTACCTGTACGTTTGCAGTGGTAATTCCTTCTTTTCACACCACTTTGGGTGGCATTCCTGGTGGTTTTTCTTCTGCCAGAAGTGCCTCTGTTAAAACGTGGCTGGGGTGGCTCTGCAGTAGGAAAGCACCTTAGCAAGAGTTTAGTCCCAAAAAGGATGTTTTGGTGAGGTTTGATTGATGCTGCACCTGGGGAAATGTCCTGGCTCTGGTGGTGGGGCAGTGGCCAAATACTCAGAGAAATCATGAGAAATGAGGCAAGCATGGAACTCTTCCTTCCTTGGACAGGTAAAGTGAATTTAAAAAAATAAACTTTGCAAGTCTGTGTTTAGGAGTGGGGGAAGAGGGAGACCTAAAATATTCCATGTGTGTTGGGTTTTCTTAAACACTCCATTTCAAACAACGGCTTCGAAGATTAATTTTGTTTGAACAGAACTCATTTAAACAGGGATTTTCAGGATACTGTTTTAACTGTAACTAACTAAATTGCTTACATAAACTCAGCAAGCACCGTTCAAAGGGAGTGGAAAAGTTTGGAAGAGAAGGAAGGCTGTGTGTGGGAAGGCAGGAAGGAGAGGTAACAGGCAGGTCAGCAGCAACTGGGAATTTAAAAACAACAGAGAGCAGCTCCCTTTAAATTAATTCCCGGTTCTCTAAAGATGACTGGGCAGAAATAACGGGGGCAAGGGGTGAGAACGGCTCATTAAGTTGCTCTTTGCAGGACTGCAGCCTGTAGGTGGGAAAAAAAGCAAACAAGAACTGATGGGCTTTGTCTTCTAATTAGCTATTGTCAGGGTCCAAAAATGATGGCAAAGGGCTCCTCAATTTGAGCAGAGCAGGAGTGTTCTCATATCGATAACAAGGACAGTTCTGTGCCATTCACTGCATTTCTTTGGGAAGGAAATGTGGGTTGTTCGTGGCTTTTTGTTCTTTTGGGGCTGTGCCTTCACAGATGCCCTGTGTGATAATAGTCATTTGCCCAAGTGAGGAGGTTTTTTTTCCACTGATAATGCCCACAATAACTTGGGGAGAAGGTGGAAGCAAGGCTGGCTAAAAGACAAGCACTGTATTTATTCTTCCAAGCCAAAGGACTTGGAGGAGTGTGTCACCTCCCAAGTGTTAACCTTTTGCTCCTGAGCAGTCTGTGTCACTGGGTCAGGTGCTTGTCCCAGACTGGATGTGTGTTGGGATAACAATAACCTGCAGTGTCAGCTGCCATCACTTGTCTCACGGTGATGTTTGTGTATTTGAATTGAAAAGACTTAGAGGTGTGACTGAATTCTTGCTCACTTATTACCTATTCACTTTAACCACTTTGGGCTTGTAGATTAAACATTCATGTCGAGGGTTTTATTTGAAGTGTGATTTTTCTGTAGGAGCTGGTTGGCTGGTGGGATCATCACAAAATAACAATATGTAGACTTAGTAATTAAAGTAGGAGGCATTGAAATGTGTTATTTGCTTGTTGGTTTCTGCTGGTGAGAAAGCAGTTTAAAAAGAAATAGGAATCTTCTTGAGTGTGGATGGGATCTTTTTTCCTTAATATAGATCGTAGTTATGTGTTCAAGCAATGCTTTGTGTGTAAACAGAAGATGCTGCTGCATTTCCTAACGATTGAGTGTAGAACTGGAGAAGAAGAATGCACGGGACAACTTCTAATGGAAAACGAATTCGACATAAAAATCAGGGAGGTGCCCCTGGTACACTGGTGGTTATTTGTTGTAAATCCTGCTGACCCTGAGTGATGGTCCCTTGCTCGTTATCTGGGTTGGTTTCCCTACTGCTCTTGGCACTGCCGTGTTCGTGCAGCAGGGAACACGCAGTGATCTCACCGGTGCTGTGTGTTCACATCTCTGTGTGCTCAGGCTGCGACTCGTCAGGACATGACCTACTGGCTGCAGGAGCTGCAGCAGAAGAGGTGGGAGTACTGCAACAACCTGGACGCTGCCAAGAGGGACAGCAGGACCTCCCCCACGCCCAGCGACTTCTCCAGAGGGCTCGTGGCCAAAGACAATCCCGGTACGTTGGGAACGGGACTCACCCCACAAGGATTTCTCTCCTCAGCGTCAGTCCACCAGTCCCAGCTGTGCTGGGAACAGCCTTGCAAGGGTTTATGCACATCTTGTTATCCAGTAATTCTATATAAACTTTGTGTGTGATGCTATAATTATTTAGCAGAAATGTAATTTTTTATATGGGATTTCGTATCTCTTACAAAATCTGTGCATTTCCTGACCAAAATATTTTAAGAAATGAAGTAAGAATGTCCTGTGACTGAGTTTCATTAAGGACAGCTTAGATTAGGCAAGTTGTCTTTGAGTGGTTGCAGTATCTTAGTATAGCAAATATCCTGAGATGTGAACTCCAGTTTTTAATGAGAACAAATATATTTTGGGTTCTGAATGACCAGACTTTGTTTTCTAGAAAGTGTGGTGTGGTGGATCTGTCACACTAGGACAAAAGTCTTGGCTTTTAAAACTGGAAAACAATTTGTCCTGATACTACACAAGTGAAATTCAATCTCTGTAGTTTGTTTAGGCAAGGAAAATTTAATTTCGGTGTCAGTTATAAAAAGCTATTCTGTATTTTTTACCACATTGCTCAGGCACTTGTGAATTGTTTCATTTCTGAGGTCTTGCTTGCTGGTTTCTCTTCTCCATAAATAAGCCCAAGTAAAATCCTGTTCTGTGCCAAGTTAGGCATTAGTAAAACCCTCTTGGGTCAGACATATTTCATCACCACATTTCACATTTGGTTGCTGGGCAATCAGGTGGCTGCCAGAGCTGATGGAAAGGAGGGGACGAGGCAGAGTGCAAAACACAGGCAGGCAGAGCAGAGGAGGAGCAGCCCTGCCCTCTTGGCAGCAGATTCTTGGATCAGACCAACTGGAATATGTAACTTGGCCACAAATCCATTCCTTCGTGTTTGGGAGAGCTTGGGTACAGCGGGAAATGAACCTGCTGTCACTGCACCATGTGCAGGTGCTGTTCCCTCCCTCCAGCTCGGCAGCAGAGCCAGTAACTCAGTCACTCATCTGGTATTTTCCTTCCTTCTAAGTTGTTGGGGGAGTTTCTGGATGAGTAAGCTGAACTTCTTTGTGTGATTTTTTTTTTTTTGATTTTGTTTTTAATTTGTTATTGGTTTTAAATCCAGTACAAGGAATGTCAAGATAAAGTACAGGGGCTAAATAGACCCAACCCTTTCAGGGACAGCCTGCAGTTAAACTGCATTCTGTGTCATTTGGAACTGCATCTTGAGTCTCTCATTTTTTGGGGCAGATCACAATGATGGCTTTATCATCAACTCAAGTGTTTGAGTGGGAATTCCTTCTAGGGGAAATGCAAATAGCCCAAGTGATTGATGATTGTTCCTTCTTTTAAATCAAGTGCTCCAGAAGTTTCCTGTAGAACTGGGGGATTCTCTAATGATGACTGAGCTGTGCTTTGTACTGGAGCACAGAAATTGGGCTGTTTTGCAGGGTACAGATGCTCTCACTGATGTTTTAGAAGGGAAGGTGATCTGTCTTCAGTCCCAAACCAGAACTGCCTCTGTTCTGTCCTCTCCTTGTCCTGTCCCCTCCCAGGTTGGTACACTGGACTGACTGGGACATAAAGCCAAGGTGCTGCTTAGTGGATCAGCCTTGAAGGGTTCTTAAGAACATTCAGTGGAGTGAAAATTATTTTTCAGAGTGGGATATGGGAAAGTTCATTAGACTGCAGGATTTGTCATGGAACTGCCTTGCAGCCATGGAAATCAAATTATTTATTCCCTTATAGGATATGGGATTATTAATTTTTTTCTTGAAATTAATGGAATGTTAACATAGGTTTTATAATTTCAGTTCTTGGCTTTGTTATTCCTCAGCTCTTAATTTGCATTAATAAAAAATGCAATGCCACGCATCTCCAAGATTGTTGTGCTTTGAAATAAGTTTAAGAACAAGATATCATTATATTTTTTTTTCACATGCTGATTGCGTTGACGAGCAGGTGGATGAGTTGTGCAGTCCCTCCCTCTGACCAAACAAAGAGTGACCTCAGGCTCAGCCAGCACTGGCAGGTCTGTGAGGGGAAATGCAGGTGTTAGAAACTCAGCTCTTGAGCAGTTCCTGCACCTGGGCCATGCTGAAAGGCGTTTGGCAGCTTTGGTAAATCATACAGGTAGAATGTCAGCATTCCAGCCTGGCTTTGGGTATCCAGGAGTTTTGGTCTCTGTGTTTAGTGCTTTGCTTGTGGTTTGAGGGGTTTTGTGTTTGTTGCCTTTTGGGATGGTGTTTGGGTTGCTTTTTGGTTTTTGGTTGGGTTTTTGTTTTGTTTTGGTTTTTTGGTTGGCTTGGGTGGGCTTTTTTTTTTTTTTTTTTAAGTTTTGGTTTTGTTTTCATTAAAACCTGTTGTCTTTGCCCTTTATTAGACAGTGAATATGACCAAAAGCTGGTTTTAGCTAACCTATCTTAGCTGAACTGTGCTCAGCTCAGGCAGCCACAGTCCCAAAGAACTTGGAACTCTGCTTGGCTGAAGCATCTGTTCCCAAAAAATCAAGGCAGTGTGACTTGTACTTCTGTTTGAAACACCACATGATACACTTTTGTGGCAGATATACCATTTTTCAGGGGTTGGAGAGATTTGTGGTGTCAGTGATCTTTTATACTTTGTATTCTTTATCACAGAATGTGCTTTGTGCTTCTGATCTTTGATAGGGCTAAATAAAAGGAACCCTCTGAGTAATTGGAGGGCACAGTTTGCTTCAAGATGGGCTCGCTGCTTGTGCCAAGTGACGGTCAGAGCAAGGGCTGAAAGGCTCCCCAGTGATAAAAGAGGGCATCAGGATCTCCCAGGGTTTTATTAAAATCAGAGCCCCTCCCAGTGTGTTACTTCCTAATGCTGAACAAGTCTGAGGGTGTTGTCAGAAAATCCTTAATCCTTCTGTACTTTGTGACTGATATCGAGGAGAATCTGAAAATCATGTTTGAGTTGTTGAAGTTGCTGTTCAGAGGGTTTGTGTAAGGCCACAAACCACTGTGTGCTTCTCTGTAATGGTGCTGCTTTTCACAGGATAGTCCACATTCCCAATTTTTCACTCCCTCTGCCTGCTGGAGGGAGGTGGCAGGTTATCCAGGCTGATGGAATCTTTGAGGCTCTGCATGTTTGACAGTGTGGTGTGTTGGAGACCCAGCCTGGATCCTCTGGAATTCCACAGCTGTGGCTCCCAGGGAGCCCTTGGGAGCTGTGTGAGCTGGGGCAGTGTGAGCAGCTGAGGAGGAGCTGCAGCAGCTTAACCAGGGCTGGTAAATGCTCGCTGATGCAGGAGGTGCTGGCTGTGTCTGCAGTGCCTGTGCCAGCGCTCTGGGAATGCCCAGAGTGGCTCAGAGCTGGCTCGAGGCCACAAAGCTCCTTGACTGGCAGCAGGGTCACTTGTAGGGTGAAGCACACCCTGAAAGATGTCAGTGTTCTTGTGGCACTGTTCCAGACTTACCAGAGCTAAGCCTGAGCTTGTTTTACAAGGGGCTTTTGCAGGTTAATGGAATGAATCACCTTTAATTTTTATGGCTTTTGTAGCTGCTTAAGCTGGATGAATCAATATTGACTGGTTGAGATGGTAAATCACTGAAATAATGCTTCCTGAGCATCACACAATTCCTGTTATCCAGAGTGTGTGGCTGTGGGGAGAGCTCACTGAGGAAAACAGTTGGCTATTTTTAAGGTTCATTTGAACAGAATGTTTTATTAAGTTTTGTTGCAATTTAAAATAAAACCTGACCTCCCTTGCTAGCAGGCTTAGCAGTGTATGATTTACCACTGTTCTTTTACTTATTGAAGGGTTTGCCTATTTTTCTTTTTCTTTGTTTTAATACAGATTTGAGTATCCTGAGTCAAAATGCTTCAGCAGAGAGAGCTAGGAATATTCTAGCTGTGGAGACCTCTCCCACAGACCTGGTGGGGGAACAGGCAGCTTCCCAGCCCGCACCAGGCCAAGCCAGTGCCATCAATTTCTCCCTCAAACAATGGAGCACTGAACTCAAGTAAGTTGGGAAGGTGGGAGAAGGAGTTACCAGGAGATGGATGGGTGGTTGCTGGCTCAGACTGTTCCCTGCTGACAGGTGGGGGTGTGTGGTGGGTGGAGCTGCTTAGAAGGATGGGGAGTGCTGGGGTGGATCAGTACAGGGGTATCTCTTCAAGTAAACTTTTATTTTACTTACTGTTTGAAGGGTGTGAGTGAGAACATCGTTGTGTGGCATCACTGAGTCCTGAAAGGGAGAGTGGACTCTTGGAAAGCACTTCTAGGGATGGCTCTGCCCTCTGAACCCAAGCAGGGAGCTGGGAGTTGTATCCTCAGCTGCTTTTCCCTGGAGCTGCTTGTTGCAGCACTGTAGTGTTCAGTGCATAGCAGCTGGTTTTTAGGATCCAAATCAAAGCAGTATAAATCCTTACTCTTCATCTGCTTCTTCAAATAAATGAAAGCACGTGGCACAGATTTGGAGTCGATGCAGTTTGAATTCCTGTGGCAGACCCTTTGTGAGCAACATCAAATCCCTCCCTCACAATGAGAGAACTCTGCAGTAATAACTGCTTTGAGGGAAGCAGTTCTGCTGCCTTTCAGCTCTCCTCTTACGGTTTCTTTCTAAATGAATTTACCTTTTGCTTTTCCCACACACATTTTCCACTTGCACTCGAGGGCTGTTCGGGTGCTGGGGCAGAGCAGCTCACAGAGCAGAGCTGTGGCTCTGCTTAATTAGACCACATCCCTCCTGAGCTGGAAGATGTTGCTCATTTTCAGCAGCAGGGCTGAGTCAAACAGATGCCTTTTAAAGCTTTCTCGTTTAGCACAGAGATCTGAGAGGTTACAAAGTGGTGTTGGTTTTGGCTCTTTTTCTGGCTCCTTTTCTGGTGTTGGTTTTGGCTCTTTTTTTGGCTCTTTCTGGTGTTGGTTTTGGCTCTTTTTCTTGGCTCTTTCTCCCTGTTTTTTTTTTTTTTTCTCTACTGTGTAGACTGTAATTGAAGTTTAGAAAAGATGGCTTATGGCTGGATTGAGAAATATGTCAATCCTGTTACTACATGTCATGTTCTAACTGATAATATTGTGTGGTTGCTCTGGTAGAACATAAACTTGATCACAACAGAAGGAAAAGTACACGGAACAATTTCTGTCTGGCCAATTCCTGTATACTTGAAACAAGGAGTTTTTTGACTTTTAAAATTTTTTTCTTGATTTTTGGTGTGTTGGTGGGGGTTTTTTGGGGGTGACTTTCTCTGAGTTGCAGATGCCCTGCCTTGGGAAAGCCCAGCTGGGAGGGCAGTGCCAGGGTGAGCTGGTTGGTGTGTCCGTGTTTGTGAGCAGAAAGGCAGTGATGGAGCTGTGGGGTGAGGGAAATGCTGGTGAAAGTGGCCCAGCAGAACCTGGAGCACAGCAATCAGGAGTTGGACTCACTCTGTGTAGCTCTGATCCTCGTGGCACGAAGTCCTTGCAGGTCTCAGGAGTGACCACGTGGTTCTCTCCCAGCTCAGAATATCCTGTGACTCTGTGTAAGAATCTGTGATTCTATGGGAGAAAATCTGCCCCTGCAGCTCTGGGAGGCTGAATGGCAGCAGCCAGCAGGTCAGGAGCACTTCAACTCCTGGATCCAGGAAGGTAAATTTGTTTGGAGACTTGAGTCTGGAGCAGTTTTCATGAGAGAGATTATTTTTGTTTCAGCTTAGGTTTGGTTAGAGACCAGTGAATTTTCCTTTTAAAGGCTGTCCTCAGCTGCTCTAGAATGAGTGGAGGGCAAGTATAATCCTAATTTTGATTGATTTTGCATAGGTAATGATAATTTTTACATGTTTCTCCTGAAATGAGTGATGCCCAATCAATAATCAGTGATTGTGCAGCCTTTCCTACTGCACAGCTTTGGTTTGTGCTCAAACCAGTCTGAACAGAATTCCTGTGGGGAAAGTACCTAAGTCTTGTACATTGACATGTGAGGCCTCATTTGTCACTTCTTGATTGACAAGAGATGTTTTAAAGCCTTGTCCTTCCTCCTGAGAACATTTGGGGTGTGTCTGACAGAGCAGCTGTTGCTGTCCTAGCTGTGTTTGCATCCCAGGCAGCATTGTGGGGAAGGAATTATGGGGAAAAAAAATTAAAACTATGTCTTGAAGTTCAACTGTGTGTATATTTGCAGTAACTAAAGTTGCAACACTCTTTTCTGCTTTTCAGAATATATTTTCAAGTGCTACTTGACATATACAGACATTTAGGCCTGAGTTTTTTTAATCTTCCTGCTCTCAGCTACTTATATCTCTTATTTATGCAGAATGTAGGCTTGGAAACGTCCTGAATTACAGTAACCTCAAGGTATATAACCATAAAATATGACTTAACCCCCAGACATTTAAAAATAGTGAATCATTAGATCCCATGATCAACTCTTGGGCAGCTTATCTGTTTGTACTGGTCGCAGTGTGCTTAGGAAAAGAAATATTGTTTTCAAATTTAACTCTCTGGTCTTTTAAGCTCATTTTAATCTAACAGAAAGCCATGAGTGCCCTGAACAAACCTGTGCAAAAGCTTTGCAAAGCAGAGCATCAGCTGTGATTTTTCATGGGCTCAAAGGCAGTTTTTTTAAGAAGCTTTTCCAGAATTCACTTGAGTTCTTGTTCTTTGTGGTGGGGAGATGGCAGATGACACTTGTTGATTTTGAGTGCCCTGGGAAATGTGTCAATCACTGCCCAATTGGATCTGTTTAATTTCCCTGGAAGGTCTGAAAAATAAACTGAGGCTTCTTGCCCTGACAGAAACTGTGATTCTTTCTGGTAGGAAGTGAAAGTGGGGCATAAATCAGTCTTTGCCAAGTTTGTAAATTGATTGCTGGAATGGCTTTATTAATAACCTTTAGGGTTGTTTTTAAATTGTACTTAAATATTTATTTCTTGGTTTATCAGATTGTAAAAACCTTGCACTGCATAATGATCAGCTTGGAGTTCATGTTGATCAGGTGTTAAATCTCTTGTGAAGTTGATCATGACATCATCTTGCAAGTGTAATGTGGGTTACCTCCTGCTTGAGATTTGAAAAGTAAGGAGAGAGAATGTGGCTGAGTGAGTGAGAGCATCTTTGTGGGCTTGCACAGACTGCAGAGAAAGTGCTGAGATACCAAATACATTTCCAGTTTTATACCTGAGGGGTTAAACTGATTCCTGTGGATTGGTGTGGAATCTGCTTGTCTGGTTGAACAATTTACAATACTGAGCTGTGCTAACACTCATGGACACAGGAGTGATGTTTCTGATGGCATGGGGGTTGTGGAGGAAGCTGGGTAAGGTCAGCTCATCCTGCTGGGAAATGGATTGTTCTTCCATGGAATTATCTGGCTGGAATTCAGAGGGTGCCTCCGAAATGTTCTTGCAGATAATTGGCCACGTTCCACCTTAGGACAGGAAAGCTGCCCAGAGTCTGTCATCAGTGATTCAGCCACAGCAGGTCTCTGGGGTGATCCCAGGTTGTGCATTAACCCAGGATGTGGCACTCTAACACACATGCATGCTGTTCACTTCACTGCCTGGCAGTTCCCCTGAAATTCTAAGCTAAAATAACTGATCAGTAAAGAGATGCTGCTTGTAAATCCTAATTTTTTTGTACTTCACCACTGCCAAAACAGAGGGGGGTGTGAAAGACCATAGTGTTCTCCTAGAAATTAATATCCCAATAAAACAAAACAGTTCTTCTGTTGTTGAGAGCTGCTGATGGCAGGTGCTGTTTGGTAGGATATGCTTTGTTATCTTTGAGCTTTTATTCGGTGTTGGTTTGTTTGGGGTGTGTTGTAGCCTGTTTTTCCTTTGCACTGTTTGACCTGGCAGTGCTTGCCTTGCAAAGCCCTTTACAGAGTGAATGCAAAATGCAGAAATCCTTGTCAGCTTTTCCTGCTGCCTTTTCCCCAGAAATTCCATGTCCTCCCTGAGGAAAGGAAACAACGAGAACCGCAAGAGCGTGTTCTACACCAGCGAGGAGTGGGAGCTGCTGGATCCAACCCCCAAAGACCTGGAGGACTCCATGGCTCTGGAAGAAAAGAGGAAACACCTGGCAGAAGGAAGCAAAGGTAGAATTTGGGAGGGAGGAAGGGGAGCTTTTGCCTCCTTTAGTATAACGTGCTGTGTGTGTCTCTAGGAAATAGTGGAAGCTTCTTGTCACAAACCACATCCAGAGCTCTGGAAATTGTTTTTTCAAAACTAATTCCTTAGGATGTGTTTGGAGTCTTCTGCCATTCAAATGCAATAGAATAAGGACAAAGCCTTGTTATCCACTGTTGTGGTTTCCTGAGCACGTTACTGGCTTTAGTTCTGTCTCTTGACTTGCAGAGTTAGGAGGTGAAGGGGAATGCTGAGGCTTTAATTCCTCAGTTGAGTGTCACTCCCTGAAACAGAATTGCCTTTAGACTCTGTAGAAGTTGTAGGTGTTACATTGTCTTGCTTCTGAAATGGGGGAAAAAGTAGGGGATGCACATGTAGTGACAGCTCATCTGTGAATTGTAACTGGGTCTCAAATGTGCCCAGTCTGCTATAACCTCGTGCAGATGTTTTTACAGCTCCTTAAGAGCACTTCAGCTCTAATCCAAGTGACTTGGTCTGTTAGAAAGCATCCGTGTCCCTGAGCACTGCTGTGGGGATGTAAATGGAGGTGAATTGTTCTCCCAGTGCCTCTTCCAGGAGCAGTGGGCTGTGATACCAGGGATGGGTTTGCTCTGACCCCTTTGGAGCTGTTAATTACTTGAAGCCAAGTTTACTTTGCCATAGTTAGGGGTGCCTTTTATTTTGTGTAATAAATTAGCACTTGGGAAGTGAGACACGAAGGGAATTTTACAATTCACGAGCCAAGTCTTTTGTGTGGGAGGGGAGGAGACTTTGAGCTCTCTGCTTTTCCCACCAAAGGAAGCGACTCGGAAAACGAGGCCTGTCTAACTCCATTGTATTGGGTGGTTCAGGGGCTGCTCCGAGCCCGATTTTAATGAGTGTATTTTCTAAAGGAAATCTGAATGCTTTGAAACGCCTTTTTTTACCAAGTGAACCCAACTAGAAGGAATTGTTTCATGCAGGACTGACTAGTTCAGCTTTTCCGTTTGATTTGGGCCGCATCCCGCACAAAGCGAGGCGCCCCTTGCTGAAGGACGTGATGGGGTCGAGCAAGAGCCGCGCCGGCAGCGACTCCTCCCCCACGGAGTGGGGTTCTGGCAACGGCAGCAAACTGGTCTCGGAGCTGCAGCTCAAGTATCAAAGCCAGCAGGAAGAGCTGGAGAAGCTGAAGAAAGATCTTCTGAGCCAAAAGGTAATGAGGCTTTCAGGCAAAGTGCCCGGCGCGGATGGATCTGGCAGGTGATTGATTGTGTGTTTCACCTCTCTGGCCATCGAACTGAGCTGGTTGGTGGAAAGTGATGGGGCTAAACAAACCTTGGTGCACAAAGAGGCTTGAGACAAGAAGGACCATTTTTACATCTGTTGAAGATGAGATGGCTGAACAGAACGTTCATTTGCACAGTGTTCATTACCTTGGTTTGTGTATCTTCCTTATTCTCTGAAGTTTGTTCGGTGTCTGCCACAATCCCAGCAGATAGACACAGCTTCTTGTTCCTTTAGTACTTATAATTCCCGAGAAACTCATGCTTTCAGGTTCTCTGTGTTTGTTTTTTGATTCTCTCAGTGCTAGAGAGAGGCTGGGGAATGGGCCTGACTTCTCTCTGTCCTGACTGCATCATCAGGAGTGGTTTTGTAAAGGATAGCCCTAACCATAATCATGTATAAACCATGCATGTAGTACTGCACTCACACAGTGTTCATGATTGCCTCACAACTCCAGTTTGTTCAATACCTTGCTTTATCTACAAGAATTTCTACTCATTTTTAGAAGAATAATTTTATGGAGCTGCTGTTTGTGCCATTTGTGTTTTCCGTTGTGTGAGATGATCCAAGGGAATCCAAAAAGGAATGTGAGCCCCATGGTTATAGTCATTTTAGGAGTTGTCTCTCCCAGGAGTACATTTGAGCTCCTGAGCCAGCTTTTGAGAAATCTCACTGGTTTAGTGCCACAGTGTGCTCACAGTTGCTGCTGTTTTAATAAGAAGACAAAGAAAAATGGTGTCTTGGGCAGTTGCCTGTGTGTCAAGACTTTCTAAACAGCCCTCCCAAGACTTCCTTTTTGGCAAAGCAGCGTGAATTGTTTGCTGCTCTTATTTTCTCTGTATGTGTGAGAGAAGAGCTGTTACTCTGCCTTTTCCATGCTATAATGTTCACCTGTTAACCTTTGGAGCTTAAGCCCTCTCCTGTTCATCTCCCCACAACAGGGCTGCTTGAAGGGAGGTTTTTTTCAGCTTCAGAGTAACTGCTGGGCCACAGCTGCCCACTCCTTTTCCTTGGCCTGTTGGAGCCTTTCTAGGCAGGGTTCTTAGCTCAGTGAAAGACACTTAAACCCTCTGGGTGAGTCAGTCACGGTAAGGTGTTAATCTGCTGGAAATCATATCGTGTGTTCCCCTTTTTCCTTGAAACACCAGGCTGAGGTCTCTTAAAATCTGATGATTCGGATTAAAAACCCATTCCAGAGCTTGCTTTTGTTTGATGTTAACTTTATAAGACTTAGAAACTTAAAACTTGATGGTCTTTTGTTTTTAATTCTCAGGAACTCGTCCGGCTCCTGCAGCAAACAGTCCGCTCCTCCCAGTACGACAAATACTTCGCCAGCCGCCTCTGCGAGGGGGTTCCCAAAGACAAACTGGAGCTGTTGCACCAAAAAGACGACCAGATTTTGGGTCTCAACAATCAGCTGGAGAAGTTAAATCTGGAAAAGGACAGCCTCCAGCAGGAAGTGAAGAACCTGAAATGCAAAGTCGGAGAGCTCAATGAGCAGCTGGGTATGTTGATGGAAACTATTCAAGCTAAAGATGAGGTGATCATGAAACTCTCCCGGCAGCTCAGTGAGTGTGAGGACAGTTCATCCTCTCCGAGTGGAGCAGTAAATTCTCCCACGGCCACCTGTGCTAATAAGGACCTACAGGAGCTGGACAGACTGAAAGTAAGAGCAATGTCTCTGTCTCACTGCATAGGGGACTCTGTACTCCCTGTGAAAGTATTTTCAGGCTGCTGGGCTGGTTGAGGTCACTGCAGCAGCTCCCCAGGACCCTCCTCAGCTGAGGCTTTCTCTGCTTGGCACCCCCACTTTGAGTGTCTGTGACAATCTGCCAGAACTCCTCTCCTTTGGGTGCTCTGTGCACCTCCAGTGAATTCATCACTGCTGGGGAGGAGCAGGGACGTGAGAAACAATCAGAGGAGCAGGGAAAAGAGAGTGCAAGAGAGGAAAACATCAGCTTGGGGGAAAACAAACCAAGTTTGCTTTTTTAAAGGATTTTCAGTAGCAAAACTGAGGCAACAGAGCATGTGGAATGGCAAAGGAGGCACAAAGGAGTTTAAGAACCTGTTTTACTAATGCTCCTACAGATCCTATTAATGCCTTTTTTTAACCTCAGTGAATGTGTCACAGGTTCTTCATGGAGTTACTGAAGTTACCACTTTGCTCTAAACCTGCCTTTTTTTGCCTTTAAATAAGTGTTATATTCCAAATTGATTAATATTCCAAGGAATTTGGAGTACAAGTAATTTAAAACATGCATAAACTTTCATCATTTTCTTTCCTTTTTGAGACCCTGGTAAGTTTTAAAGCTGGTAAATGCTATTAATAGCTGCTGTTTCTGTGTTCTAAGGTGTGCTTTCTCTGGCAGGCATTTGTAAAATATTTGTATTAAAAATCCAGTTTGCTGCTTTTTTTTTTTTTTTTTAAATTATTTTTTTAATCAACAGGACAATCTTCAGGGTTATAAGACCCAGAATAAATTCTTAAATAAGGAGATTTTGGAACTTTCTGCTCTACGAAGAAACGCAGAAGCGAGAGAGAGAGAATGGCAGGCAAAGGTCAGACTAACACAGCACGTTCTCACTTTGGAAAGGTCTCAGATGTTTCCAAAATTTTAGCTGTAAATCTACCCAGGAAATGGAACAAGTTAAAAATCCCCCTTAACTCGGTCCTCACAGACCAATCTTCCTGAATGGATTCTGGAAAGAAGTAATTTGCTTTAAAATGGTGTGCAAGTTTCTTGTGACTTAGGAACACAGGTGTGTGGATTTCTCTGAAAACATTTCCTCAGAATTCAGGCTGGGATGATTTTTGGAACTTATGACAGGGTGTGCAGGGATTTGAGCAGAGCTCTCTCCTGAGCATGAAGGGTGACTGTGGGTATGGTGGATGTAACTTTGGGAGCGTGGATGAATATGAGTGTAGAGATATTGCAGGTAAATAATGAATATTTCCATTGCCTGGGGCTGGGACAATGCACACACCTGCAGTGATGGCTTGGGAGGCTTTGCCTCTGGTTTTTTGGAAGCCAAGCACACAGGGGCCAGGTTTAAATGCTGTATTTTTGGTGTGGAGCTGTGTGTTTACACCTCCTACGTGCTGTTGCCTAACTCGTGTCTTTAAAATGCCATTTGAGGGGTTCTTGTTCCAGCACGCACAGGCTGAAGCTGTTCTTTGAAAAGCACCAAATGCTTGAGTTGTATTTCGTGCAGGGTACTGATAATTAAAGCTGGCTCAGGTTTTCCACGTGCAAAAAAAAAGTACATCTGGTGGAAAACATCAGCTCTGCTTTGCTGCATTTGTGCCACACAAATGGGAAAGTCAGGCTGACTGTTCCTGACTTACAGGTTTGTGAGCAACATAAACCAATAGAATTAGCACTGAACCAGGTTTTAAAAGAAGTGTAGCACAAAGTAAAGTGTCTGAAGACTTATATAACACATTGTTTTCTGCAGTACACCAGCTTGGAAGCCAAACTCTGCCAGATTGAAAGCAAATACTTGATCTTGCTTCAAGAAATGAAAACTCCCGTGTGCTCTGAGGAGCAGAGTCCTGCTCGGGAGGTCATCACACAGCTACTGGAAGATGCCTTGAAGGCAGAAACCAGTGAACAGCCAGAGCAGGCCTTTTTCAAACCACACCTGGTCAGGTAACTGGTCCTGTTAAAGTAAATGTCTGTGTGCCTTGGTCAGTGAAGGGGCTTCGATCCCAGCAGTGAAAGTCGCTGGTGTTGGGAGTGGAACTGCCAGAGAGCCTCCTGAATGGTCAGACTGGCAAGTTCCCTCAACACATTTATGGGTTTATTGAGTTACAATATAAAAGTTTAGACTCAAATGTTGCCACAGAGCTGCTGAAGGTGAGTTACTGAAGAGTTGGGTTCGTTTGAACTTGACTCTGTTCTTAAATTGCTTAATTTCTGTGGTAATTATACTGGAATATGGGCACCGAGTCTCTGGGAGATGGAATTGTGGAAGTAACTGCTAAATAAAGGATATATTTCAGATAAATGTGTAATAATTGTTACAACTGGAGAACTACAGAGAGTGGCTTTGATGGGACCTGGGGAGTTTCAGGGCTGATGTAAACCCTCCTTTTTCCCCCTGCAGTGAATATGACATATATGGGTTTCAGACAGTCCCGGAGGACGATGAGGAGGAGAAACTCGTAGCGAAATCACGAGCTTTGGACCTGAGGTCGCTTTCCCTCAGTGAAAATCGTGAGATCTCAGCTGGAGTCAAGTGGGAGAACTACCTTGCCAGCACCATGAACAGGGAGATGATGCGCTGCGTGGAGCTGAAGAACCTCATCCGCTCGGGAATCCCGCACGAGCACCGCTCCAAGATATGGAAGTGGTGCGTCAACCTGCACGTCAAGAAGTTCAAGGACAGCACGGTGCCTGGCTACTTCCAAACCTTGCTCCAAAACGCTCTGGAGAAACAAAACCCCGCGTCCAAACAGATCGAGTTGGATCTCTTGAGGACTTTGCCCAACAACAAACATTATTCCTCCCCGACATCCGAAGGGATCCAGAAGCTGCGGAATGTGCTGCTGGCGTTTTCCTGGAGAAATCCTGACATAGGGTATTGCCAAGGGCTCAACAGGTGAGAGATTGCTGAGCTTGGATAATGAGCCTTTCACATCTCAAATGGAGGTTTGCCCTGTGGGCTGTCTGCTTGTCATTGACAGTGTTTTAATAAACAAATAATTAGCACATTTTTTAAAGCAAATCAAAAACCCAGCTGACCCGGATAGTGAATTTTGTAAAATCAACTTGGCAAAAAAGCTGGAAGTGGAATTAACTCCCATAAGAAATGGGCCACTCAGATGTAGTTTTACATCCACTCTGTGTCAGTTGTAGGGGATTGAGCTGCCCGTGGGTGCAAGAATTTGTTGTTTGTTTTTTTTCTTAAAACAAGCAGAAATAAATGCTTGAAAGCCTTTTTTTATAGTGTTAAGGCCACAAATTTCAGCGTTTCACTCTGAATGTCTTCCATCAGGATAGTTTGGGGAAACCTCCACCTTACACCCTGCCCAGAATAAACAATATCTCCTTTCTAAACTAGACTGTGTGTTCTGAGAGCTAAAATCAGCAGCACCAACACTGCAAGAAGTTCTTAGAACAAGGTCAGCCTTTAAAATACTTTAGGGCTTTTTATTTTTATTTAAAAGATGATGGTGTTATTTATGTTTATGGTAAGGGAGATAAAGCAATTGTGCTAGAAAGGATTTTTCTGATCTTAAAACAACTTTGTGTGTAATTCAAGAGCCATCTGTTCTTTCTTCTCCTCAATAAGAAAAGACAAAAGTCTGGGCATCAAGGATTATATTTAGGACTTGGAAGCTTCCCATTATTTTGTCTTAGTTCCTGGGAAAATGGCTTCTAGAAAATCACTTAGCTCTTCCCTTTATCTGATTTCTTATTTAGCTAAATAAAAACACTTGGTGTGGCTGAGAAGGTTCCATCTGAAACCTCAGTCACAGTTTTGCTGTTTAGTGCTCTCCTGTCAATACATTTATCTCTGCTTTAATTTTTTTTAAATAATTTTTTTATGAATTACTTTATTGTAATGGCTGTTAATATAGTTTGTGATGCTGTAACAACCTTTTTCTTCCATATTAACCCTGTTTTCAGGTTGGTAGCGATTGCACTTCTGTACTTGGAGCAGGAGGATGCTTTCTGGTGTCTGGTGACGATAGTGGAAGTTTTCATGCCTCGTGATTATTACACCAAGACCCTGCTGGGATCCCAGGTATGTGCTGTGCTCCTGGGAACTGCAGCCACACTAAAGCTTTTTTGGGGGTGTGGAGTTGACAGGGGTGGAGTCCAGGCACCAGGGGACCTTGTCTGGACAAGGATTGGCACTGAAATAACTGTTCAGTGACCTGCTCAGAGCTCCAGCCTTGGAATGATTGTTGGAAAATGAGGAGCAATAACAACCTAAACATTTGTCACCTGCTCAGGTTGATCAGAGGGTGTTCAAGGACCTGATGAGCGAGAAGCTCCCCCGGCTCCACGCTCACTTCGAGCAGTACAAAGTGGATTACACCCTCATCACCTTCAACTGGTTCCTGGTGGTGTTCGTGGACAGCGTGGTCAGCGACATCCTCTTCAAAATCTGGGACTCCTTCCTGTATGAGGGACCAAAGGTGAGCTGGGGTTGCTCAGTTGGTACCTGAGAAAAAACACTCTACTGTTACTGAGTGATTTCACAAGAATCCTGTTGCTTAAAATCACTGGTAGGGAGGAAAAAAAAAAACCAAAGGAGGAAATAAATGTGCAGAAATAACCAGTCAAAGCATTTCCCATTTTACCTGTGCTCTGCAAGTTAAGGGGTTGAGTTACATGGAAGAATTTTAAATGCAGGTGTTTTGCTTTTGCCACCACCTTTTTTTTTTCCCTTTGAAAAGTAGAAGTCCAGGCAGTGCTGCTTATTCCTGTGCAGCTGTCAGTCATTTCATGTCATTGTACTGAGATGAGAGCTACTCTTAGAAAGAGGAAGATGAGGTGATGGAGGCAGAATTTAGCTTTTGGAAGTGGGGGCTGGGCCAGGGAAGGGGGGGATAGAGGGAGGTGTGATTAGAGAGCTCACAGGCAGCCTCTGTGAGAGCAGCCCTTTTCCTTGGAGTTTATCCAGAGGATAATGAAAGCTGGTGCCTTCTGTACTTCCAGATCCCAAATACTGTGTGTTTTACCAGGTAATATTCCGATTTGCCCTGGCACTTTTTAAATACCAAGAGGAGGAGATCTTGAAGCTGCAGGATTCCATGTCCATCTTCAAGTACCTTCGCTACTTCACGCGCAACATCCTCGATGCCAGGTGGGGAACTCGCACTGGGGGGCACTGGAAGAGCTGTAATGGGGCGTGGGAGAAGTGAGGGGGCTTGGGTTGGTTTTGTCTAGATCCTAAATCAGCTGTAAAGCAGCGAGGGGTGCAGCTGACTGCCAGGGTTTGCCACGAGCACTCTGATCTGGCAGAAGGGGTGGGTGCTGAACCGGTGCTTGTGAGGTAGGAGAGGTTCCCTGGGCTGGCTGTAGTGGAAGCAACACGTGGAGAATTTGAGCCCAGGTGAAGCCTCCCCCTGCACTGCAGGTACAGCCTCAGTGAGCAGAATGGTTGCTGGTAAATAAAACCACATCCTGGCTCGGGTGTTAAAAATGTGAGCTGTGTCCTACAAGGCTCAGACCTCCTGGGCATCATTTCTGTACAGGCCACTGCCACTGGCTCAGCTGATTGTGAGGTACATTTGGAAGCAGAGGATAAACACAAGTTAGTCCTTGCACAGGACTTAGTTTGTAAATCAGGGTCTGCTGGTTTTAGGCTCCTTGTTTTCAAGACTGTAGAGCAGCAGATGAATCTTAAAAAGCCATATTGGGATTGGTTTAATGTCTCAAAATATTCAGCACATATATTGAAGCTCAGTGATTTTCAGCTTAGTGCACAATCACGTATTGAAATCTGAGGTGGTTTTTTTACTGTAATAAATTCCACATAAACTTAGGCTTATACTTTGAATCCTGCTGGAAGAGCTGTTTAATATTTTTACTTCCTGTGTTTGTTTTGACTGGGGAGAAGTTCAAACTCAATAATCTTACTCTGTGCTTGGAAAGGATTGCTGGGAGGAAAAAAAATGAAATCTTTTTGTTCAAATGAGGTAAAACCAAAATTCTGATGTTTAATCAGAGGTGAAGATTTTGTTTTCCATTCCTTTTCCGCTTCTGGAAATGGTGTCTTGGTTCTCCTGTCTCAACTCGCTGGTGCTGAAATAACCTATTTTAAAGGCTTCTCATATTGCTGAAGGACACCTCACTTTGCTGTTAACAAAATGAGCTGGGGGGTATCAGTGGCAGATGGGGAGGTCAAGCGAGGACAGCACTCAGTGCAGCAAAGATATTTACAATAAAATATGCTCTGTAAGCCTCTGCTTTCCTTAGGGCTTTGAAAGTGGGAGTTGCAAGCAGTGGTGCAGTGCCACCTAGGGAATAAAGATTTGCTAGGACTGACAGGACGTGATTCAAACTGCCTGCTTTCTTAATTTTTTTTTTTTTTTAATGTTTGTACAAGTTTTGCAGCATCAAAATTTGGACAGTACAGAAGCACGTAGGATGATGTCTTCATGGACCAGAAGTCACGTTGTAGAGGAAAAATTCAGAATTTTTTTTTTTAATAGAATTCATGGGTGTCCTGAGCGGGTTAAAAATTATTTTGGAGAGAGGTTTTAAGTTTAAAGTCTCTGTTAAAGTATCTACAAACATGTGCATGAGTGCACTCTGGGCTGTAGGGTGTCATGGGTGGGTTTCTCTACAGATCCAAGTTGTGTTCCATGGCATTTGTGCACAGGTAGAGAAGCTGTTGGAATGTGTTCTGTGTAGAAACAGCAGGAAATCATTCTTGTTCGCTCAGAAATACAAAACTGGCCTTAAATAAGCTGTCCAAATATTTGGGTTCATCTAATAATTCAAGCAGAATAAATTGAATACTCCAGTTCCCCCTTTTTCCATGGTAAACAGTGAGATATTTTTAGGTGTGGATGAGCAATAATAATGTATTTAACTCTGTCTTTGGGCTGCTTAGATGAGCTGCTGGGTGTGCTGTGACTGAAGGATGTGATGCAGCATCACTCTGGGAGGATGGACCGAGTGTTCAGTGGGTTCAGGGAAGCTCTGACTGTCCCAGCTCGTGTCTTTTGCTCGCTGCTGTCCGGGCTGGGATCTCTGTAGCATTACACAGAGTTTGCAGGTGGCTTGTGAATCCTGAGCACTTGGGAACACTTCATTGCTTGAAATAACCCTAAAACTGAGTGCTCTGTAGAAATCTCTGGCCACGCTGCTCACACTGTGTGAGAGACCAGAGACAGGATGTGCCATAAGAACTGATAGGGACGGAGTTCAAAGCTGCTTTTAAAAAGCCCCAAATGTGAATGATTGCCTTCTAACGGTGTGTAACCTTGCAGGAAGCTGACTGCCATCGCCTTTGGAGACCTGAATCCCTTCCCCTTACGGCAGATCAGGAACAGGAGGACCTACCACCTGGAGAAAGTGCGTCTGGAGCTCACGGAGCTCGAGGCCATCCGCGAGGATTTCCTGCGGGAGCGGGAGACGTGCGTGGAGAAAAGGGACCTCATCAGTGACGATGAGGAGGACAGCTGAGACTGCCAGCAGACACTGCCCCTTGGCAGCGAGACCAAAGGGAGTGAACCTCCAAAACACTTTATTTCCCCCTGCCAAACAGAATGTAAACGAGTTTGCTTTTGGAAATATGCAGGACAGATTTCCAAGCCCCAGCACTTTCAGCAGCAGCGCTTTGTGTGAGGCCAAACACTTCTGTTTACATGGATGTTCATGGAGTCCTTTGTAGAGCACTTAATACCTGTCTCAGTTCAGGCAATCAGCTGGACTGGCAGTCCTTTTCCCCCAGTGCACCCTCAATGTCTGGATGTGAAAGCAGAGTGAGAGAAGTCCCTGCTGTGTTCACTGCCCTCCTTGCCATTCTGTGTGGGTTTGGTGTGATCCTGGTTTTTGTGGTGCAGGTTGTCCCTGCTGTGTTCACTGCCCTCCTTGCCATTCTGTGGGGGTTTGGTGTGATCCTGTTTCTTGTAGTACAGGCTCAGTGTGAGAGGGCACCGCGTTTCTTGGTCTCAGGTTGGTTCAGTGTAGCTATTCCTGAGGTCCTTAACTAGAAAGGTATGGAGTGAAGCACAGGAAGAGCTTTTACATTGCTTTGTCTTTTCCTGAAGTGACCTGAAATGGATCTCCAAACAGAACACTTGAATATTTGTTCCCTGAAGTAAAGCTGAAACAAGTACCTGTTTGCCACTGAATGTTCAGCGTGTGCTGAAACACTGATATCAAACATCACTTATGCTTTTCAGGGCAGCTGTGTTGATAAAGAGTCTCATTAATGCCAAGAGGTCTACAGATCAAATTCTCTTTAGTGCATTTTCTGTCTATTCACTTTTTTGATTGCAGTGTTTCAAAAAAAGGTCACAACCAAACTTCAGGTATTGTGGAAGAATGGAGCTTGTCACAGGAGTACCCTGCTTTAGTAGGCAATTATTTGTGTATCTATTGAAGGTTCTTTGGTTATGGTTTGTTTTGACTTTTTTCTTTTAATACTTCTTCCTATTTAGGACTTAAGTCTTTCTCTCTAAGAAGACACGTGGTGTTCTTTTTGCAGGAATGCAGACCTGTTGTACAACAATAGCTGGGATCAATCAGTCAGAGGAGCCGAAAGGTCGTGAATTGAAGATCCTTTTCCCCCAGAGAAATGCAATATTCTCTGCTGTGCTCAGCTTTGCTGGGGGTGCTGGGTGCACATTCCAAGGCAGCTGGAAGGAGACACCTGGGGGTTGAGCTGGAGTGTCTCTGCTGGGACTGGAGGCTGCTCTTTCTCATTTCATGACTAGAAGTTCTGAGGATGAGGAGGGTTTCCTTCTTTGCTGGATACTCTCTGGACCTGGCAGTGTTTTTTCTTGAACTGTTGGATCTTCAGGCTGTTGGATTGACTTAAAAGTTGTCATGGTAAATCCAGGATTCAAGTACTAGGCAGCAAATCACTGAGCTCTGGGGAAAGTGCTCAATTGGCACAAAACCAAACCCAGGAATTGGGAAGAGTCAGGTGCATCCAGCTTTTATCTCTTGTGTTTTGTTTTTCTGAGATGTAGCTTGTGCTTTATTGGGTATAATCATGTAATCATTTATACACTTAGGTGTGTGCAGAGAGAAATCCTGCTTTTGTTTCACAGCACTTTTTTTAATTTTCTTTTATTTTAGAGGATTTAGTTGTAGCCTTCTCCAAGTAAGCATATTATAAGTTAGTTTATCTGGAAGGGAACTATTTAATCAGAGGTGAAGTTGTAACTTAGAGGACCACTTTTGATATAAAATATGCTTCCTATATGACACAGTTTTTACTTAGCCAGCAAATCGTTGCCAATGAGGGACCCATGGTGTGATCATCTTGATTTGTATGTTCTTTGTCTTCTAAACTGTCCCCTGCCTTGTCTATTGTAAGTAGTAGTTTTGGGGTTTTTTAAATTCCCTAGTTACTCTTGGTTGTGTACTGGTGTTTGTTAGGCAGGGCTTTGATATTATTGCATGTACTGTATTCTTTTTCTACTTACAATCAGTATTTGAATACAAAAACGGGACCAGGTTTTTTAATTTTCTAGTTATGCTGTCTTGGTTTTTGAAAGAGCTGGTCTCTCAATCCATCTGTCATGTTGGCTTTTTTCTTGTTTGTTTTGCTTTAATGTTCTCAAGTGTTTAAGTTGTAGGTTTGGTTTTTTTTCTAAGCTGAAGATCTTTCTTTCAGTGGCCACTATTGAGATACTGAGGTGAAGAACTCAAAGTATGCACCTACCCTATTCCTACAATCTGTTATTCCTTGGGTTTGAGTCTTCCCTGTGAACTAGGAGATGTTTCCAGGCTGATCCCATGGAAGCCTTTAGGTTGTGAAGGTAAAACTGGCCATGGGGCAACTGTTCAGGAAGTTCTCAGCTGAGAAAACAGGACCTGCAGCGTTACAGGACCACTTTTGTTCCAGGTGTGCTGGTGGTTAAACTGTGTGTGCCTGTGTCGTGTGGCTCATTGTACAGGTTGTTACCCCATTGTACAGTAAAAATAAGCAGCTCTGTTCCTTCTGCCAGGCTGTGACTCCAGTCCATGAATGTAGGAACCCTGTGCAAGTCACGTTTTCTCTGGGTGCTCTGTCAGCTTGCAAAGATTAAATGAGTTGACACCGTTGTGCTCAAGTTCCCAACAAGCTCTTGGCTTCATTTTACGCCTTGTTGCTGATTCAGTGATGAGTTAGAAGGTCAGAAAGTTGCAGAGGCATCTGAGCTCTGACCACCAGAAGTCCCCAGGGAGCAGAAATGAGATGCAGGTAGCAGGAAGCACCTCAGGGGCAGCTTGCCCTGCTTGCTGTTGCAGATGTGGTGGGGTGACCTGGTTTTCCAGTGGTGCCTGAGGTGGTAACTGGAGAGCAGCACCAAGGAGGCACTACCAAGCCAAAACACAGGGTGGCTCAGGGCCCTGCAGGAGCTGAACTGCAGAGATTCCCAGGGTGTATCAGTGGGAGCTTGGGAAGTGGTGCGTGAGGGTTGAACGCTCCTGCCAGCCAGCTGGGAGGAGACTGGGCTGTTAATGCAAATAAAGGCAGCCCAGATGACTTTTTAACTTCAGGGTGATGCACATAACGTGCCAAGAGTTCCTTGTGCATGGTTCCCACCATGTGTGATGTAAACCAAACCACTAAGTTGCATCTTGCAGGAAGGATGCTCTTCCATCTCCATCATGTGTGCACGGCTTCCCAGTGAACCTTTGGGTTTTACCTGTTTAAAATGTTGTATTTCCTTCTGGTAAACAGGCCAAAACTTGGGGCACTACACCTCTAGTTACTGGAACTGCACAGTATTTCAGCTCTACCTGCCCGTGTGTACAGGTGGGGTTATCATCCAGTGTTATCACATTGTTTGGTGGTGTTCTTTTTGCCAGCTGTGGAATCAATAAAAAGTATTTTTTTTTGTTGCCCTTTAGGTGTCTTCTGTGAGAGGTTCTCCCCTTCCCTGTAGTTTTTGTAGCCATGGTAAGATATTTCAGCAGAAAGGGAAAGATTTATTTTTTTCTGTTTCTGAAGACATCAGGAATGACTGAATGGCCTCAAATTTGCCAGAGTTGTGTGTTTAACTCATGTTTAACTGAGAAATGGAAAATGGATTAATTTAATGAAACTGTGTAGCAGTTTGTGACTGTTCCCTTAAGTGCCACGTCAGAAATCAGCAATATGCGGTACAAGACATGAATCACAAACCAGAAGTGATTTATCTTCATAAAGATCAATGTAAAGAAAAAAATAAAATTGTTTACTACTTTATAGCAAACCAGTAGCAGAGCTTGTATTTTTGTCTGATTCTGTGACTGGAGAGAATCCAGTTGTGCTTTGAAGTTGCAGATGTGACCTATAATAAACATGTTGCATGCAGGTGCTGCTGATGGGGTCAACTTGGGATTGGTGTCCTCAAGTTTGTTGGGAGAGGAGGGAAGGGAAGATGAAATAACCATGGGTGTTGACAGGGAACACACTTTCTAGGAAACATGGATTTGTGTGCTCTCTCTTGGAGGTTTGGTACTGATGTTCTGCTGAAGCCTTTGTAGTCAAATGCACAATTTCAGCTGCTTGGAAAATTTAACCAAGCACTGAATTAATTTGGAAATCCAGTCCCAATGTCTGTCTTTCAGGTATGACTGCTGCATTTTGGAGTTGCTTGATTCCTTCAAAGAGGCTGTCAGGTACCTCAGCTACTTCAGACAGAAAACATAACAGCTGAATGTTTGTGTGGGAGGGAAAAACAAGAGGTAGGAGTTGACTTTCCTTGCATGTCCAAGCAGATCTTTCCTGAGCAGAGGTGAATAGTGCACTCTGCTACAGAAGGACAGGCTGTTACAGCAGGAGATGTTGGCACAGCTGGAAATCTGTTCGGAGGGGTTGCAAAACAGGATAGAGATCAGCAGTTGAGGCAGAACGTGGCTGTGGCCTAAGGACCTCCTGTCCTGGGTACTGAAAACTGAGGTCAGAAATAACAAAATTCTGGGAAGAGTGCACAGAGCAATGTCCTCACTTGCACACTTGGCATATTTAGCATATTGAAGAGGTTGTGTTGCCCTTGCAGCTGCTGGGGCCTGCCCAGAACAGCTGAGACCCCCCCATTTGCTCCTTGGGGCTCAGCTTGAGACATCTGTTCTCAGTGGAACTGCAGTAAGGATGGCACTGGGGTTATAGGCTGGTTCCTAAGAAATGCATAACTTCGAGAGGACAAACACAGTTGGGCTGCTCTGAACTGAGCCCCAGTACCTGCAGAGCCTCTCTGAGCTCTGGGTGCCTCAGAGCACTCACTGAACCTGCTGGTGTTCCAGCACATCAGCTGTTCCTCCTGTGGCATTTTCAGGAGTGCTAAACAGAGCTCCCTTATCTGCAGCTCCTTGACCTCAGCTGGAAGCAGAAGCCACGCAGTGCTGAAGCTTTAGAATTCCCACACAAGCACATTCCCTCAGATCATGCAAAGGAAGGGCGTGCTCTGCCTTGGAAACTCCCTCCCTGCACAAGAAGGTAAAAGGTTGAGTGAGAAGGGAGTCAGAGTGGTGTTCTGTGCTGTGGGAGCCACACTTGTCTCCAGTTCAGGGATGCCCATCTGCAGTGCCAGCTTTTCAGAGGGTGAGAGTAGAAAGCAAAGCTCAGGACTGTAGACTGAATGTGATTTTTAAAAATCTAAGAGTTGTTTAATTAGAAAACTAAATATGCTCGACCCTAAATTAGTCTAGGGTGTTGTGACAAGAAGTGAAGTAATTAAAACTTTTGATACCAGAATATACCTGTTAAATGAAGATGACTTTGGCCTTAATTAAGATTCTCTTACCCTAGAGCACCTGCATCCTGCCTGGTCCCTCGAATGCAGTGGATCTCTGGTGTGTACAAACCAATCTCATTTTGGCAGTGAGCTGCCTCTGAGACTTCAGGTCTGTGCTGATGAACAGGCTCAGTGATGATAGTCTGAGTGAGTATTGTAACGGTGAACAACTGCAGAACGATGCAAGAGCTGCATCTTGCCCAGACAGAACCTGTGCTTGGGCTGGCAAACCCTATGGACGTGGCACCAGGGATGGGATTCCATCTACCCTTGCTCTTGGAAACCTTGCAGGGCTGGCCAGCAAATAGGAAATTCAGATTGGGGTTATTTGGGGTCTCGGCAGAGCTTGTCCCGATTTGAAAAGCAGTTGTGCTGTTTTGTTCCCTTCCTTGCAGCTGGAGCAAACAAAAGAGCAGCCTTCCTCTGGTGCCCTTTGCTCTGGGAATTCTGTAGGACTTCCACATGATGATATCACATTGTAGAGCTAAAGGTGAGGAATGCAGTGTCTTTATTTCCCTTTCAGAGAGTTCTCAGTACTTCCACTGCCCTTTGAAACCTTTACTGTTGCTTCCATTTCCTGTTTTCCACCCTGTGTAATATCAGCTGCAGCCACTTTGGGTTTGGAATTGGGAGATCTGGGTGGAACCCGGGGGCCCTGACCACTCCCCGGGGCAGGCGAGCAGGGGCACAGCTCAGTCCTCTTGACTTCAAACAAATCTGAACCCAAGTTTCTTTTCAACTGTGATAACAAAAAGCACTGTCTTCAGGCACGTGCCGAGAACAAAATGATTTTTTAATTCATCTATCTTTGCACCTTACTGCAAATGGAAACAGCCTGCCTGATTACGTGTGGTAAGTTAGCACAGCTTTGTGTTACCTTAACCACAGGGAGCATTGGGAGTGAAGGCAACCTGGCACTTGTATTCAATTTTGAAGGTGTGAATAATCCCACATCATTCCTCATTACCAAAGGATGGATGTTAACTTGCCCAGAGTAAATGTAAGGAGACCGAACATTATTTATTGCAATCACTGTCTGCCAAATAAAGAGGGAGAAAATCTAGTTTTACAGGTTTTGGGGATGTCTTTATGATAGGAGAGTGAGCCTGTGAAGGGTGTCACTGTTGGTAGCCAACACCTGGGGTGGGGCAGCTAGGATAGCAGAGGTTTGTTGGGGTTGTGTTAATGCAGCTTGAGGTGCACAGTGAGGACTGGGAACATGTCTTTATATCACATTTTTTATGTTGTTTTATATCACCATTCTTTATGTCAAGCACTTCTTGAACAAGCAGTGGGCAATCTCACTGGGTAAGGGTGACTTTCAGACCACACAACCACCAATCTAGGCTTGTATTAGAATAGAGAACAAGGCAACTTGCCTTGTTTTCTTGGTATTGTTTTCGTGTATTTACCAAAGCAAAGAAAGGTTCTACCTCCGCGCAGTTCCCCGATCGGTCTGGGCGGGCTGTGCTGCTCTGGAACGCTTCGGACCGGCCTCGTGTGGTCTGTGGGAATGCGGGGCTCTCCCATCCCCACAGCGCTGCTGCAGCCGCGCCAGGAGCCATAGAATGGGACACACGGAGTTCTCCTCCTGTGGATATCCCTGAGGATTCCCGGGCCCCACCGCCCCCGCGGGGCTGCCCTGGGCGGAGCGCGGGGCCGGGCCCTCCCTCAGCCCGCCCTCCTTCCCTCGCTCGGGCACGGCTCCCTCAGCCTCCCTCCTCCGGCACGGCCCCCTCAGGCTCCTGCCGGCCCCGACCCAGCGAGCCCGGCGGACGCGGTAAGTGGGCTCTGCCCCACTCAGCCCCCTCTCCGTGTTCTCTCCTTGCGCCGAGCCGCCCTCACGCCGCTCCCGCTCCTCCCAGCTGAGGGCTCTGTCCGGGCGGGCTCGGGGGGGAGCCCCGGTGGGTCCCTGCCCCAGGCCGGGCTGTCGGCGGTGCTGACCCTCGGCCCGCGCCCTGTCGGGCGATGTCCCCGCTCGCAGCACCCCCTCGGCGAGCAGCTGTCCTTCATCCCCGGGCAGCTCCCCCAGGGCTGGGCAATCCAGCCATTCCACAGGTACCCCGTTAACCTGTTACGCGGTGTTTGTGTCCCGAAGCCGTGGGGCACAGCTGGTCCGGGATTCACACCTCAGTTTGCTGGTACCGTTCAGCCGGTGCCGTGCACCTTCATCGTGTTTATCCCCGAGTTCCTTCCTGCCTTTCCCCTCGCACAGCAGCCCTGGGATTGCGCTAGGTTTCTGTACACCTGCTCCTCTGTGGGACTGCGTTGGCCTGGCCTGCATCCTTTTAGAGGACGGTCAAGAAGGAGGATGTGAACTGGAGGGTGGAAACGTGTGGCAATCGCTCCTGCTGTGGCTGCTCACCCATCGCCCGCTGCGGACCACGAGCGGAGCGCTGTCCTGCTTACCGTGTGGGGAAACAGCTCAGCCCTGCCCCTTTGTGCAGGTGCTTGCCCTGAAAACATCAGTAGCTTTCAGACTTTCCCGTGCCTTTTATTTATGTATTTATTGATGTGCGATGAATGTAGATGGCAGAGGCGACTTTGTGGCCGCGCTGTGCCCTATCAGCGGCGGTAATCCTCGCAGGCGCCTGGGGGCCGGGAGCGGGCTGTGCCCGGCGTGCCTGGCATTGCGGGCTCCCCCTGCTCCCGTGTCCCGGAGCTCGGCCCGGGATCATCGCTCGGCCACGCCGGGAGCTGAGAGCCCGAATTAGCTGCAGAGACAGCGCAGCCTCGGGTCATTCACCACACGTGTAATTACTGCGGGGTAAATTTGGGATCCCTGGAGAGTCGCCGGCGGGAGCTGCGGTTCTATAATGGGACTGAGCGCTCGGATGGGTGGGTGGGTGTGTTTGTGTCCTCTACGAACACATAGGCAGGAGTAACTGCCTCGGTTCTCTGGCAGAAATTTTACAGGCTGCTGTTGTTCTCCCCGGGAGGAAAATATCTCGGTGAAAGGAAGAGTTTTGATGGAATTAATGTCATTTTTGAACTGCGCTAGATTTATTTGAAAGCAAAGGGTAAAAACTACTTGGGTAGTTTGGGTTTGGGGTTTTTGCCCTGTTGGATAAAAGAAAAGAGAAGGAGATGTGAAAGAAGGAGTGAAAGTGAAAGAAGAAGAGTGGAAAACACTTTAATCCCTATAAAAATCTGTTTTGTTTTAGCCTAAGACAGCAAAACTAGAAGACAATATAACTTTCATTTGTTTGGTGGGTTTGATTTATTTTGATGATTTTTTTCCCCACCCAAATGATTAATTTCAAACAGTCCTGTTTTGATCCTAAATTGTTTGGGTAGTTTTTTCAGAATCATAAAAGAGTTCATAAGGGAAGTTGTTACTTTGGTCTGTTCTAGTGTGTTTTGGATTTTGCTGTAGCATCACTATTGTTTTGTCACATCAAAACACGCCACAGGGGATGGTTCTGACTTTGGCAAAGGGTTTAGTGATTCAGCTCCTGTCAGGTGTGCTTGAGAAAGTAAGATTAGTCAGCTGTTACCTCAGTCACTTGAAACTAGTTTCCTTAAAGTAGAAGACACCCTAAAGGAAAAAAAAATATCTACAGCTGCTGGCAAGGCAAATGGTCCAACAGTTTTGGTCTCACCTCTGTTTTCAGTATTGTGCTCTCATTCAGTGGTGGGAGGACACTTGTCATGGTTTGACATGCATAGACCAGTCACTGATTGTCAATAATTTGGTTGTGACCAGCTAATAACTTCCTTGTGAATGGAAACATTATTAAAGGAGAGAAATAGAACCTCCTTTCTTGGTGCTCCTCCTAAGGCAGATTCTGCCACCCTGTACAGAAGGGTGGCTTTCAGTACATTAACTGTCCTTACACACAGCACAAGCTGCACTCAAGAGGCACTTTCTGTGCTGGAAGAAGAATGTCTATACCCAGATACTGATAGAAAGTATTTGTTTAAATTTGAGCCTCAGGTCACAGTGGGAAACTGTGATTTCTTCGGGTGAAAAAGCTCCCATTTTTAGGGTACAGCAGAGTTTAGGAATGTGAGAAGATTAGGCAGGCCATGTTTCTAGTGCCTGAAACTGCCCTCTCAGTGGTCCTGTGTTCTATTCCTGGCTTTGCTAGAGCTTTGGTACATGTCAGGAGGAAAATCATTTGCCCAGGGTAAGCAATGCTTTGCTGCCTTGGGGTGTTTGGTCTGTGGAAAGGAGAATTAGATACAGCAGCAAAAGGTGAAGTATTTTATTCTTACACTAAACATTTACTATCTTATGGAGTATCATTATGGGAACACAGTAATGCAGATGCTGAGTAGAGGTTGGCCTTGGTATGGAAATGCTCAGGGAAAAAGAGGTTTGTTCTCTTTCCTGAACGTACAACTTTTTGGTGTGAGTGAGTCCAAGATGAATGACCATCTCTAATTCATTTCTGCTTTCACTGATCACCATAAAAAAAATCACCACCTGACTAGAGAGAGAGGAAAAAAAAAATAATGAAGGCTCTCATTCCTCCTTTGATGTTCTTGTGCTCTCTACTTGCAAATGGAGCCCAACAAAACCCTTGTAGTTTAAAAAACCTTTGGAATCACCTTAATTTCCCAAGTTCAGTGTATAGTATTTGGGGAGGGTTGTGTTCCTGCTGGTGACTGGCATTTCCATTTGGGGTGAATTTGAAGGGTGTGAAGGTTATCTGCTGTTGCCTTATCCCCCCTTTTGCTGTGAACTGGCTGGTGGCAATTGTTTTGGGTCACCAAGTGCGTGATCTATTTTGGGCATCTGCTAACTGTGACTGCTGGGTGGAAGCCAGGGAGAGATGGCAGGCTTGGATAACGTGGGAAACACCAGCACACCAGAGGTGCCCCTGGGGGGCTCTGAACATTTGGCAGCAGTTTTGTCTTCAGCCCTCACAAACAAAGCTCTGGGCTGCTGGAACGGCTCCTTGGAGCTCAGGTGACATTTACTGGCTCAACCTTTGCAGGAAAGGGTGCAAGTTCAACAGATCAGCAGGAGGGATGAGAATTGTTTGGTTCTCTTGGAGATAACCTTGCAGGAGTTCTGTGCACCTGCAGAATTATCTTTGCTCTTTGGAGGGTGCTGGGAGAGGAGTCTGATTTGTCAATCAAACACAAAGTGACTGCGTTCCCAGAGGCATTTTGGGTGGGTTCCCCACTCTCAAAGCAATGTTTTTAACTTGCCCTTCTGGATGGCAACGAACTCTCTCTGAAAACAATGATTTTTCAGGTGTGTTTGCATTAATGTGGTTTGTAACCCTGTACCTGGGATTCTGATGAGGGGAGTGGTCAGCTTGAGGGATTTACCATCTTTGGGCAAGTCTCAGCAGTGTCTCTTCATACCTGGGCATCTCTCCTGCACTTTTGCATGTGCTCAGAACTTAATTTTACAATTCAGGGGTGAGCAAAAGGTTTGGGGTTTCCAGCAAGGCTTGGCTTTGTCCTTTGTTTGATTTTTTTGAAGTCTGAGAGGACCGAACTGGTTTTTTCACCAACACCTCAGAAAATTCTGCTCTGAACAATTGCAAGCAACATCAGACAAAATAAGGAGCCAAGAGCTCAGAGGTGTTCTCATTCTTGTAAATGATGCTAAAACATTTACTGACTGTGGTTTCAAGCCCTCAGCAACGTTGGTCAGTGAGTTTACTGTGAAGTTATGGAAGGTTGCTGGATGAATACAGTAATTTGTTTACAAAGAGGGCAGTTTATTTTCATTGAGAAGAAAAACAGACCCTTTTGTCCCTGGCATGAATGACATTAATTTCCTTTGGGAAGGAAATTAATGAGCAGAGAAAGAGAGCAGCTCACCTGGCTTCACCTCGACAAACTGAAAACACAAAGGCAGAAAATGGCTGAGAAAGTGTTGGGATGGAAAGTGGAAGTGGAAAAAAAAAACAACCCCCACTGTAACACATCATTCTCACCAATGACAGGTGGTGGTTTCTGTGGAGTATTTTACTGGTGTGATGCTTATTCTGGGCTTCAATGTCAGAGCCAGGGTGGGTTTTCTCTGGTGGAAGCAGCTACCACTTCTCAGCCTGTGTTCTGTGCTCGCTGCCAAATAAGGGCACATCTGATTGTGTTGATACCCCTTTACTTCTTGCTACTGTTTTTTGGAAGACTGAAAGTGATTCCCAATGTGAGTATTGATGGAGTAGCCCTTCTGATTGATGTTAGCCCTTTTTGGTTGATGTTAGCAAAACCTAGGGGGAAAGGTTTTCAACCTTTCCCCCTAGGTTTTGCTAACATCAACCAAAAAGAAAATAGATGTAGAAGCACTAACAGACTCTTCCTGTTCCTTTGGAGCATATTTGGGAAGGAATTGAATTGACAACGTTCCACCCACGTGTTAGAAGCCAGTGGTTTATGAAAGAGGTGGGGGCACACAAAGCAGCCAGTCCTTTTGCTGAGCTGAGTGCATGGCAAAAGCTGGGTGCATTTTGGCAAGTTGTTGGATTTTTACGGTGTATTTGCTGCTTTTGTCAGGGAAAAAAAATCTTCAAATTACGTGCATTTCAAGCTGGCAGGAACACTGCAATTTCTCTCTGGTGCTTAGCCCTGTTCTGTAATAAGTTTGCTGATCTGTCAAAACAGCTGAGCATTGAGTTGAGCTGAGTTCTGAAGGATCAAAACAGAGCTTTATTTTGTAGTGAAATACACTTCACAGCGTGCCCCAACCACTGCCAGTTAAAACCACGCAGGAGCTGGGTACAAATAGAGAATCTGGGAAGTCCCCAGTGCATCTGAAGCAAGAAGCAGCTGGGATTCCTCCAGAAAAGCAGATTCACACAGAGATGTGTGACAATCACTGCCTGGCTCAGCGTAGTTGGATTTTATTGTGATGCTGGGAGGCCTTACAGCTATTTTATGTGTTCTGATCTGAATAGTGGATGTTTTTTGAGCTGTTGGGGTTGATGCCACATGTCCTAACCTGACTAGTTGTTCTGTTCAAATCTGTTCTGTCACCATAACACGTGTTGCTGTGGGGGTGTCCCAAGGAATGATGTGATTCCTGCTCATCTTCCCATCCACAGCAGCCCAGCGTGATGCACTCACAGATGCTCGAGTGCACCAACACCAGCCTTGTCTTCCCAGACCCCCCTGAGCTTATCAGCTTAAAAGATTGTGGTCAGGAAACAACTGCACAGAGCACACGGAGTAACACACGCTGCTGGTGTTCTCCTCATCTGGAACACACAGTGTGTGGTGGAAGGTGTGCTGAAAGCCCTGCAGATGGGATCACAAAGCCCTTTCCCAGCAGCAGCTCTGGTGTCTGGTCGCTGTCCTGGCCCCAGGAAACTCTACCTGACCTGAGCCAGAGGAAGCTCTGCCTGGTGCTCTCCCTGGCTCGGGATCTGCCTGCTGGCCCTTCACTGAAGGAGCCTGTAATGCTGCTTCTCATGCTGGCCCTACTGGAGTGTAAGGGCTTTATTGTCCAGAAGTTTGTCAAGGTATTAATTAATTGCTTTGCTTTCATCACATTGGTGTTTCAAGGTGTGCTTTGTTCTTCTGGTTCAGCGTGTGCTTGGGTACATCAGTGAGGGCCAGGAATCACCTTCCCTGAAGGGTGCTCACCTCTTTGCAGGTTTGAACCCTCACTGTTTGGCTGAGGCTGCTCAATTCATTATTTTGATTGATCAGTGCTACCTTTGGCCATGAATGAGCTGCAGTGGATCCAAAGTGGCTACACCCAAGTGTATGTTGCTGACACTTGGCCTCTTGGAAGACCCTAATGGATGTCACTCTTTGTTAATATTCCAGTTGCATCACCTCTGAGCATCAATGAAAGACCAGGCATGGCTTTCTTCAAGCAGCAGAAGGTGGAGGACGTTTATGACATCGGGGAAGAGCTGGGAAGGTAAGGATGCACTGCTGACACCTGCTGATCCTAACAGCTGCCACAGGGGGTGTTTGCCATGGATCTTCAAACTGTGATAGCCTAAATCAGCCACAGTGCACCACAGAAACACAACCCCTGACCGACACTGCACTATGGATATTTTGATTTATTTTCCTGGAAAGATTGACCTGTCAGGATTTCAGTGGGACTGGTTAATGCCTCTCCATAGATTTTCATCTATAAATGCTTATCTGCAGGTATTAATTACAGCTGTGATTCCCAGCTGTTATCCTGCTTCACCATCATCACTCTGCTGTGTTTGGGGGCTGGACACACAGGGCTGTCCCAGCCCTTGGTAGCTGAGTGAGGGGAGCTGCTGTCCAGCCCTCCAGTGTTTTCCTTTTTAATATGCAAATAGCTAAATTAGGGCTATAGACACGTTGGCTTCTTTCCCAATGTCTGGCAGTCAGTTTTGATAAATGACTCTGTGTGTGCAATTACCCTTTTTCAAGGGCCAGTAATTCAGTTCCATTAAAACACTTCAGTTGAAGCTCTTTGCCTGCCAGATCTCTTTTTTTTTTTATTTTTTTTTTCATTCTCAGCTGATTCACCTTTAGACTTGGTGAGAAGACTTCTTTTAAGGGGAACGGGGTTGGTAGGTTTGTTTGTTTTCCATTCCCTTCCCTCTCATGAAGGCCTTAACTATTAAATTTTCAGTGCTTGCTTACTTTTGAGTGCTGATTAATACAGAGAGCATCAGTCTGACAGTAAAAGCCTGACAACAGTGAGCAGTGAAGAAATTCAGTGTGTGTATGTGCAGGGTGTAAAAGCTGTGGGTTTTTAACCAAGGAGGAACAGTCAAACTGCCAAAGTGAGAGACTGGAGACTGAGCAGCTTAATTTTAGTTGGGTTTCTGAATCGGATTGGGGAATCTTTTGAGATGATGAACATCACTCTCCTCTTCAAGCTGATGGATATTTGGCAGTTTGAATGGAGGGCTTGTTGAAGCAACGTGGTTAAGGCAGTGGCTGATGTGTTCCACTGCTGACTGATGCCCTTAGACCCTGTGGATGCCTTTTATTAGTTCACTGTGTTTGCCCCAAGCTGTTGGTTGCTGGCAGGTAGAGGCAGGTAAAAGAGCTGCTTTATTGTAATTTTGGCAACAGGAGCCACTGAAGCTTTTCCATGGCCACAGCTGCGTGTGGAACTCGCTGCCTGGCTCCAACATTCCCTCTTTCAAATATTAATCTTAGGTTTACACCTCTGTTGCTCAATTTCTCCAGGGGGCACATGCAGGGAACAAGGACTCAGGCACGTGGCTTTGGAGACAAGTTGCTGATGGCCTTGTCCCTTGTAGCAGCTGTGTGTGTGCAATAGTTGAAATGCACACACACATAACCAAGTTATTGCCCAACATCAGCCACTTTGCACAGCTGAAGTCTGTGTGGACAGAGCTTCTCTCGCCACAGCTGAAAGGGAACCTAAAAAGAGGAGCCTGGGAAATTAATTTAGCACATTTTCACATTATAAACAAATAACACAGCTTATTGCTAGGATATTCAGATATTAATTAATTCCTTGTCAAAATTGATGGCAAGAAAATGAGAGAGCTTAGGAAACTTATTTGGAAATGAGTATGTATAGGGATAGTTATTTAAAAAGCCCTCAGTTATACTAGTCTAGCAGGGGTAGAAAGCAACGTGGACTGAAGTGATCACTGCCTGCAGAGGTATTAGGAGATTGTCTCCTCTCTCCCCAGGGTGGTAGATAGTGTGATTTGGGTGTACTTTATGCAGTCCTCCCCAGCATTTAATGCTCTCACTCTTTGCAGGTGTCAGACTCTCTGGCAGATCGAGTTTTTCTGTGCCTGAGCTGTTGATCAAAAATAGATGCTGCAAAACTTATTTTTCGCAGAACGTTTTCAAAACCCATCCCGTTGCCAATCTGAGTGGATGTTCCTAAGTGCCTGCTTTATTCAAGTAGTGAAAACCTGCATCCTTAAATTTGGATTTTAATGAACCTCGTGAGAAACATGAACAGTTCTGCCTGCTCTGAGTAGGATCCTGCTCGAAGCCCTTCGCAGGAACGCTGTAGCAGGTCGTTCTTAATTTATGAAAAGCTGCACCTCAGGGCCATTAATCTCCTGCCTCAACGTGTTGCCAGCCGGGCTGTGAGAGCTGTTGACATTTGTGCCTCCTGGGCGGTGTCACTGTTAACAGGTCAGGTGGGGCTGAAGAGTGGGAGTGCCATCCCGGAGTTTCCCGTGCCAGGGGATGCGAGGGTGTCCCGGGACAGTGTCCTGGTCCCTGCAGCTCAGCTCTGCAGCACGGAGGGCTCACGCTTAGCACAGGCACTCAGCGAACCCCCGAGGGATGTTTTTGGGTGTGGAAGGCTCCCCTCTCCACTGCGGGAAGGGGCTTTGCCTTCCTCCAGCCCGGGCCAGCCTTCCCAGCTGCCACTCCGGTCTCTGGCCTCTCAACTGACCGGGAGCTGTGCTTTTATCCCTCATCTCCCACTTCACTCGGTGCCTTCGTGCCAAAGATAATGGCTGGGATTTCTCTCGATTGCTTTGGCCATAACCGAGCCTTCCTCTCTCAGCCCCCGCTGAGGTGAGGCTGAGTCAAAGACAAAGCCGAGCTCCATCTTTCGTCGATGGCTCATCGGGCCAACTGTGGTTCCCCTTCTCCAGCTACAAATTCCTGCCTCCTCCCTGCCCTGAGGAGGGAAACCCTTTCTTCTGGGGTAAGCCTTAAAGGACAGCAAAGCCAACCTTTCCCTGGTGCTGATGGGACCTTGGAGCCTGTCACACAGTCCCTGCTCTGACAGGGGAGCTACCAAATATTGGTTTGTGTAGAGAAAACAAAAAGCAGAGATAACTGCAGGGGAGGAACTGGGAAGTGCAGGGTCAAAAGCCATGTCACCCAGCTAGCTGGACTCTCCCTGTAAACACAGGGCTGTGATTGCAGCTGGGGAATTTTCCCTTAACACACCAGGCAGGATCTTCATACCAGGAATTGTTTTCTATCTATAGAAATTGCTCAGTATTGTGCTTTCTCAGACCTCAACCCTGTTCTTAGATTAATTTGTACTTTGAATTACTTCTTTAAAGTTTGAAGAATCACCTTGGATTATTTCATCCTACAACACACACAAAGCAAGTCTCTGCATTAAATGCAAAATGTAAATTTAGTTCTTGAGCACTAACCAGCACCTCTGTTCATGTTTCTTGTTACAAATCTTCTAAGTCCTGTGTTTGATGTACAATGAACGAATCTTCTGCTGAAACAGTTCTGGTGTGCAGTACTTAGGATCACTGTGATTGTAATCAGCTGTCTGATACAGTCACTATTTTTGGATTTTTTCTTTATATTTTCATATTCTTTAGACTCTCAGAGTGAGCGAGCTTATTCCTTTTTTTAAACAGATCTCCCTCCTAATTTTCAATGTCACTAACTATTTCCAAAATACTTTGATTTGTCACAGAAAGTGCAGAGCAAATGGGAGGTTTTGTTGTTTAGTTTTTTTTCTAATAACAAAGCTTCTGTGCCTGCAGTAACAGAGAAGATCTGGCCTTGGTGATTTAGACCTGGCCTTGGCCTTCCTTTGTAACAAAGTCCTGCCTTCCTTATCTCCAGCATCCAGCTTGATGATGGGAGTGATGTCAGTGTATCCCCTCAGCCCATGTCTGGCTCTGAAAGTGTAATTAGAGGTGAATTCCTTGGTAGTGCTCAGAAAGCTCAAATTCTGTAATGTCTTCAGCTCTGAATACGAAACAGGATATTAACCCCAGGAGAAAACACTGAGTACCAATTCCAGCAAAAACCACCGAATATCAACCCCTCTTTGCCATTTCTGTGAAAATGAAACAGTGTTTTCTGTTTTGAATTGCAGGAGAGGTCAGATGGAAATCTGAAGAGCTGAGAGAATAGACTCTGTAGTATTCATTGCCTGCTTTTGAAATGAAAGCTGTTACCTCTGAGTGAAAATGCCCCTGACATCCACACAGAGCAGCTCAGCACTGGGCTGGCAGTGCCCAAGCACCGGGCACATGATTGGCATGACCACTGTTAGCACTTGTGTGATGGTCGGGCTTCATTTATCTCAGGTGCCATCTCTGAATCGGGGCTAAAACTCTGCAGCAGCAGTTTGGAACCCCACTGAAAACCTGGTGTAAGAGCTGAGCAGTGAAATGGGAGTTGCAGCAACCCTTTGTGGTTTTGGCCTTACAGATAAATTTCCTCGAGTCTTGATTAAAATGCTGGCATAATTTCCCTCTGTTTGCTACGTGGGGAAGGAGAGAAATCCTTTAACCCTTTGACCAAAGCACTGCTGTCCCCTTACAGTGCATCTGCCCCGGGTGTATTCCTTCCAGTCCGTAGCTGGCTGGGTTTGGACCTGTAAATGCCCAGGTAAACTGTGCTGACCTTCTGTGCGTGTATCACGTCGGCCCTGCTGTTGCTCCACTTAGCAAGAAGGAACAACTTATCAAATCAGCTGTTCCTGCTGAGCATGAGTCAGCTCTGACCTTCCCCAGCGCTCTGGACTCTGCTCCTTACGGCTCCCAGTGCTGATACTCAATCTGAGAGCCAAGTCTGATAAGCGGGGAGAATTTTTCATCCTGTGCATTTTCTGCCCGCGGCTCAGATGGCACAAAACGCTTGCCGGGCTGCCAGGGACTCACCAGAATCGCTGTGCTCAGAGTGTGGCACTGAAGATTCTGCACCTCCCCCTTCACTGATTGTCGCTGCAGGGCTGGGAGGTTTCCAAAATCCCTGACCAGCTCCGGGAGCTGCCGCCGATGCTTCGGGAGGTGGCAGATTTCTCGTGGCTCAGGGCTGAGCCCCCCGCCCGTGGCGTTTTAGGAGGCCGATGCTGTCGCTGTTCTGAGAGCTGGGAGTGACTCCTGGCATGGGTCAGAAACATTCCATTTGTCAAACTGCCTTGGCACTTCCAATGGTTTGTTTGCTCTCTACCTGTTCCTGTAAAGCAGATCCTTTGCAGTGCTGGTTCCTCTGCCC